AAACCAGTTTGTTTTTAAGTCAGATTCATTTTTAAGTCCTGCCAAGTGAGTCTTACACACCTTTGACACAGATATACAATGGGATGCATAAAAAACCAAACCTCCACATCACCACTGCTTTTCCTCTTGCTTCTGGACATCCCGAGCTGATTGAAGACGGTACCACCGCAGTATCACACTGTACAGTAAGCACTCAGCAGCACAACTGTGACAACGACCGGCAGACACGTGAGCTACTTCCGCGATTATTTCACATCTATGTAATGTGAGGTCCATTTGTGTCTGTGAAAGTCTGCTGCTCGCATGTTCGTTAGTCAAGGACTTCCTGTAAGTGGTTTTTTCCTACCTATTTCAATAAAACTGATACTTCAGCGTGCTTTACTCTATCAGTCATGAAGCTTTGAGTGCCGCCAGAGATTTCACTCCAGTGTAGACCGGGTCCTCTCTTGATGAATTGTTTTCCTCTTCATAATGTCTAAAGTGTCTCTCTCAGTATCATAGACGAGCATGTATTGATTTCTTCTTTTTTATTTTTTAAATGATACTAAAAATTCCACATATTAATGGAGTATCATGTAATGTTTTGATACATATGTACATTGTGGAATCCTGAAACCTGGGTAACCAGATCTGTTTCTGTAACATTTATCATTTTCTTTATGGTAGAAAATTTCAAAATCCTTTTTTCTAACTTTCTGAAATATACAGTACATTATTGTTCTTCTCTAGCCTCCCTGCTGTGTGATGGCACCCAGGAACTTGTCACTCCTCTCTAACTGTAACTTGGTATCATTGATCAGCATTTCCCCATCCCTCCCCTATTGTGCCTGGCTTTAGTAACCACCAGGCTACTCTCAGCTTCCATAGGACGTACTGATTTTTAATGTCTGTCTTAAAATACCATGCTCAGAATTCACTCCGGCTGTGGGCAGTGCAGAGAACGGTGGACTCGATACCTTTTTTTTCTTTTTCTTAGTAGTGTATGTTGGCAATGCATAACAGTTGTTTGTTTGAGATGGGGTTGTACATGCCTGTAATAAAGCTTGATCATTTTTCATCCCTTTACCTCCCTTTCCCTTACTTCTTCCATCTCTGATCTCTTTTTCCATTTCCAAAAAGTCTGCTTTCTTGCTTCCTACCATTTCTCATTTATTAGTTTGTTTGTCTTTATGTTAGGTTTCTCATATGAGAGAAAACCATGCAATATTTAACTTGACCCTCTTGAAAATCAACTAAGTTTTAAAAATGGAACCTGTAATGGTAGATGTCTCAGAGGAAGAGAGAGAGATAGAGACAAAGGGTAAGAGAGAGAGAATGTGAGAGAGAGGGAGAGAGAGAGAGGGAGCCAAAGAGAGGCCAGGTAAAAAGCTCTAGGAATACCAGCTCTAATTTTAAACTGAATAAAAGCCAAATGAGTATTCATTTCATTATTTATTGTTTATATCATATATGCTGTGTACTATTTTCTGTGTATGAAATTTTCTAGTTTAAGGGCGAAAAAAACTTAAAGTAGTGCAAAATGTCATTTTCTTGCTAGCCTGTATGCCTCTTCTAGTTCATAATGAGCTCTGGTCCCCTCTACCTGGAGGGAACATAAGCTGCTCTCACAGGGAAGCTCCACCTCTTATTCCTGTCTAGGGGAACTTGGGGGTAAGGACAAGCCTTCATATTTAATCCTAATCTGTGGCCTAATTTAAATGTCTGAAGTGACAGTTGTCATTTCTGTTCACAACTCACTGGCTCCAGCCAACCACAGAGGTGTCTGAGTTCAGTCATAACGTTTCATGGCTTTTTGTGAAACTTTATGAGGTGCAGAGACAGAAATGTATAGTGACTGGATTAATGACCATCTCATGGAATAAATACAGTGCTTCTCAAAATTGTTGTTAGAAACCTGTTTTCAAGGCCTTTGAAATAGTGGAAACACTGGCCTCTGGGTGGGAAAAGACCAAGGTCCAGTAAAAAGGAATCCACTGAAGACCATCTTTCTTTACTTGAACATATTTTTCATCAGCCTCCTTTGGTTGTGGCAAAGTTAATTACAGATCTCCCTCATATTACCATCCAACACCTGATATCCTGTTTGTAGGGTGTTTGTGAAAGAGTTTGTGGGACATCTTGCTGAACTCCACTTTGTTACAAGCCTATTTATTTGAAACAAGATAGATCTGTTTCAGATCCCCAAGTTGCACCCATGGTGGACTCTGTTTCAATGAAAACACAAAAGAAGAAATCCTACATAAATTTCACCAAATGCTCAAGTGATAAAAATGGATTCTAAAGTGTATTTTGAAAACACCAAAACTCAAAACTACTTTATATGAATGGTGTATTCCCTCACATATATAAGAAGACATGATGGCCTGCAAAGTATGAAGCTGAGGCCAGTAAGGAGATCAATAACATGAACAGGAAGGATTGGGTGTGCAAGCAGCATCCACCTTCCATGTGAAACTGCACCTGACTAAAGACAAGTGCCTCCTTAGGCTGCACAGAGAGCACAATTGCCATTGCAAACCTGAAGCAGTTTCCAAGAAGGGCAGGTACTGTAACGCAGTACTGTACAATGCACCCTATACGGCCTGGAGCTATGTGCATCTTGTCACATCTTGTATGTCACATAGACATACATGATGTCTATGTAAGATGGCTGACAGAATCCAGTGGGAGCTTTGGGTCTTAAAATTGGCGCCCTGCTGATTCTGATCTGGTTATAAGGAGCCAATCAGTCTGAGTGGGGCTGATAAAAATTGCTTTTCTACAAGGGGTTGGTCTTGCTTACAAAATGAAATCAACAAGCCTGTTGAGAATGGGTATAATATGGGTTACACCCTGACCTGTTCTAGAAATAACTCAAGACATATCTCTTGGGTATCTGTAAACCCCGAGTGAAGAATCTTTTTTTTTTTTCTGGTACTGGGAATCGAACTCATGACCTTGCGCTTGCCAGGCAGGCACTGTGCCGCTGAGCTAAATCCCCAGCCCCAAGAGTGGAGAATCTTAAAAACAAGAAAACAACAAATCAGAAAGGAAATCTTTTCATGCGTTCCCTAATTCAGAGTGAAAGACACCTTCCCCTCTTACTTTAACGAGTGTTAAAACAAAGGAAACTGAAGCCTATTTCCGAAAACTAATTTGACTGTAGAGAATATTGCTTATTTGGAAAGTTCCAGGATTGTAATACTATAGCCGTGGTGATTTGTGGCGTTGTTGTTGTAGTTGTTGTTGTTGTTGTTGTTATCGTTGTTGTGGTTGGCGGAATACAATGGGGGTGCAGTAAAGAGTAGGAACTGGCTGGACAAACGCACGCAAAGAGGAAGGCTGCACTAGGAGTGAGAAACCTTTGCATCTGCACCTGCTTCTGTCTCTGATTGGTTATGTGGCTTCTGGCAAAGGGAGTCCCCTCTCTGGGCGACAGCGTCCTTTTTCATTAAACAGGCACAGTGGCTTAGAGCCTGTAGGGACAGACAGCTTGTTCATCTAGTGCTTTTCTGCCTCCTCTGTAATTTCATTAGCTCCTCACAACAGCCTGCTGAGACAGTTAAGTGTGCTCCTTTTCTCCCTGCATGTGACACTATGCAGCTCCAGGTGGCTGAGGTTACACGCATGCTCAGAGCTTCTGACTTCACGGCTGGGCTTGTTGTTTCTATCAGGTCACTGTAATGTTTTCAGCTAGTTAAGGTAGAAAGCTCTAGAAGTATCTTTCCTTCCCTTTTACTTTTAACTTAAAGTATCAGTTAAGGACACTTAGTATTTAAAGTGTTAGGTAAGGACACCAGCACCCACCTCTGCAGCATCAACCCTAAAAAACAGTGGAAAGGGGGATCATCTGGCAGGATGTGTAAATTCCCAGCTTGCTTACGATTTCCTTCCTTTCTTTCCCTGAGAGCTTTGTGTCTGCCTCCTTGCCTCCCTCCCCTGGTTTCACACATTCGTGCTGACACTTCTGGTCTCTGCAGGTGCTTGTAGTGACACCAAGCTTCATGAGAGGTGTCTCCTGTTTTAGGTTTGGATGTGAGTTATTTTTGTTTCTGAATTCGCCTGAGCCAAAAGAAATCTTTGCTTCTTGACACAGCGTGCGTGATAGCATCAGGAATCCTTTTAAATCTAAGAAGGAAAATATGTCACAGTGGAGCCATCTTTCCAAACACAGGCAACCTCAGATATTTTTCTGGAGACATCACAGGGACCTAAAAGAACCATTCATGCTCAGCGGCATAGCCCTTCTTTCAGTGTCATGCATTTTAGGGTTTTGGATGAGGTTTATTTTGGTGGCATTGGTCATGGCAGGTAGGTAGCCATATTGGTGTTGGATTTTCTAGGATATGAGTTTTACAGTTCAGGCCTCCTAGGCAGTCCCATTACTGTAAAAAAAAAAAAAAAAAGAAAAGAAAAGAATATCTTTCACGTTTTACTTAAGCATGCCTCATCAGAGCCTGCTTCTCACCAACCCTGCCCTGTGGGTTCACAGCATTTGCATTTTGTAATTATTTAATTTGTTGTTTGAATTGTTTGGGGAGCCTTCTGAGATGGGTGGAGTCCCCCATGGCCTAGGCAGCGTCTATCTTGCCCACCAGTTGGCCTCAGCACGTGACCATCACCACCATTTCCTGATTCCCATGCCTCACTGAGGTACTTTGTTTCACAGGAACAGACAATCTACAGCTACGAGTCACCCCGACCCCAGAGTCATTTCCTCAGCGGAAGTTACTACCAGTTTCACCAACATGGCCTTTCTCGGAAGTCAAGTCTTCTTTGGCAGCAGACAGAATCAAGAGTGTGCTGGGACAGTCTCTTGACAACACAAGCTTGTTGCAGTCGGCCCGGACACCTCCGCCCAAGATGTACCGCAAGACCAGGGCTCAGGGGGACTTCTCTTCTTCTCTTTACCAAGGAAGTGAACACAGTGCCTCTCTGGAACCATCCAAGGACTCCACCAAGTCCCTGGTCCAACAAAGGCCTCAGTGGGAAAGAGAAGCAGCGGATGTGTCAGGTTTGCCTCTTGCCAGCATGCTTCCCCCATTGTCCACAGTCCCATTGGTGACCTTGAGTTCCATGCCCCCCTCTCAGCCACCAGTAGGGACTTCCTCCCTTCCAAAGCATCCCCCGTGGTCAGACAGTCTCCCGCTCCTCCTCCTTCCACCTCCATCTTCTTCATTGGCTCTTCACTCACCTCATCCCATCTCCTTCTCTAAGCCAGCAGAGCAGCCCACCAAAGTGCCTTTGCTCCCCTCTATAGCTCCAGCAATCATCTCTTCAGGTCAGAATGTAGCCAGTGCCCTAAGCTCATTTTCTGATGAAATGAACCACATTCCATCCAGATACACCCAGGATTTCACAAGTGTCCCGCATCTAGGTTTTTCAGGATCCTCAACAAAGCAGCACTCTGAGCTGTCCCCAACAGAGGGTCCCTGGTCAGCAGGCTCACCCACACCTGGGGTTTTGAGCTCCGTGGCAGAACTGGCCCAGCTCTCTCCCCCTCCCCTTGCACCTGGAGGTCTTCTTCCGCTTCTAGGTGGAACCCCCACATGGCCCACGTTGGAAGTGGCTTCAAGTCCTGCATCCACCCAGCCAGTGCACAGGGCCGGGGCTAAACAGGTGCACAGTGGGGTGCCCTTGCTGACTTTTAAGAGCACAGCAGAGGCTGTGCCTTTGCTTTTCCAGACTGCAAAATCAGTGGCTGTAGAAATGACCAGCAGAAAGCTAGCCCCTGCTCCTCCTGCCAATGACTCCGCTAACCCACCGCATTTGTCAGCAGCTCCAGAGAATTCCAGAGGGCCTGTGGTTTCAGCAGAACACACGTCTTCCTCTTGGGGGCCTCCTCCTCTGCCTTTCACCATACCAGGTCAAGGGCAAGCCATCCCTTTTGGGGCGGTTCCTGCATCACCACTGACCAGGACACCCGACCTTCCCTCTTCTGTCCTCCAGCCCACAGAAAGCCATGCCTCACCATCCCCTGTGCCAGAAATGCTCCCTCCTCAAAAAGAAAATAAAGATGCACACCCTTTTCCTGCAGCTACACACCTTCTCCCCTTGAGCAAATTTCATCTTTCCACAAAGAAGATCTTTCACCTGCAAAAGGAGGATAGTGGGACAGCTGTTTTAAAGAAAAATGAAACGGCAAATGTGACAGTTCCTCTCCAGGCCTTTCCAAGTAAAGAAGTTTCAAGTCTTCACACTGTAAACGGGTTCACTTCTGAGTTTAGTGTTGGTCCCATTTCATCTCCCATCATTACAACACCAAGAACAAACTTCCTTTTATCAGGCTCTCCGCCGCCTCCCATGCCTGCCATTCAAACCTCCCAGCTGGTTTCCCCATCTCCTGGCTTTTCCAGCGCGAAGCCAGAGAATTTCACAGCTGCTGGGGGCCATTCTGAGTTGCCAGCTTCAGCTTCCAAACAGGTGACAGCGTTTTCCTCCTTCTCTGATGTCTCTGATTTCTCAACAATGGGAGACATGAACAAGCCAACAACCACAGATGTTTTCTGGAGTTCTCTTTCAGTAAAAACTGGACCCCTTTCCACACAATCAACAATATCTGGCTTGCAGCACCAAACAAATTATGATTTAAATGGTCACACAATTAACTCCACAAGTTGGGACATTCATTCAGCTTCACCTTCTCTTCCCAGTGGTTTATCTTCAGCTGCCAGTGCAATAAAACCTCAGGATTTCAAAGGTACCGTTGGGCAGTCAGTGGCTGCAGAACTTTTTAACATTCAGGATCTCATCCTAGGCCCAAGCACTCACCAGCCTGTACGACAGTCGGATATGACCATGGTTGGGAACCCTACAGACCTCTGGCCCACAAGCCATAACAGTTATTCCAGAGTTTTCCAAACAGAGAAGGTTGACTATTACTCATCTGCAAGTCAACGTTCTATTTCACATCCCCATTTACAGATGCCCACCCAGCCAACCTATCCTCGTTGGCTAAACTGGCTCAGGCTGTCTTCTACAGCTAGCTTGCAAGAAATGCTTTCAGATGGAGCAGATACGGGTCCCCAAATTTCCCGTGACATCTATCTATCACATGGGATCAATGCTTCCACACCATTGAAGAGCATCCTGGGATATCATTCAGCTGCTGAATCTCCTAAATCCACCAGTGCCTTTCCCAGGACCCCCTCCAGAGTGCTGCGAGCTTCTCAGCGCCCCAAGAAATGGACAGGTGCAGCCACTAATGCAGATAGTTTGTTTCCTGGTACCCAAAAAACAGGTATGACTGCTTTCATGGCCAAAGCATCTTCAAGCTGAACGCAGATATCCAGCTTTGAGGAGTGAGTTAGCAGCCCCAAATAGGCATGGCATTGATCCTCTTCCTGCTTCTTTGTTTGAAAATATTCAGAATTTGTGTCCTTATTACCAACCACAGCTTTGTTATAAGTGGCATTCTCATTACAGTTAATTGATTTAATGAGCCTAAAGTCATATTGCCCAAGGTCTCCCATTGCAAGTCCAAAGTGCAGAGGTTTTTCAGGCTAACACACCCGTATGTTACGTCCATTCATCACCAGGACAAGGGATGTGTGCCTTCTGGGCCAATGACAAGCTTTGCCTTTTCTCTCTTTACAGTGGACTTCTCAGTGTCACCCAAGATAGAACCAACTGCAGCAACCGCTGCCACGTTGCTTCTGAGGAAGTCGAGTCCACCGGCCCTATCTGCAGCCCTGGTTGCTAAAGGCACCAGCAGCAGTGGCTTAGCCAAGAGCAGTTTGACCACTGCTGTAGCTAGAAATGTCACCAACAAGGCAGCATCTGATCCAAAGGCTACTGCAGGGACCATCCACCCTGCCTTCCCATTCACTCCAACCTACATGTTTGCCAGAACAGCACACACCATGAGCACACACGCAGCCATGCAAGGGAACGCAGGCACTGCCTCTGGCCTGTTGTCCACAACGCACCTCCCCAGGAAACCACAAGCCATGCATACCAGCCTCCCAAACCCCACCAAGCCAGAGATGCCCAGAGCATCCACCCCTCGCCCACTGACAATCACAGCAGCATTAACGTCCATCACAGCGTCCATGAGGGCCACCCACTTGCCACCTCTGCAGGCAGAAAACACTGATGCTGTTTTTCCTGCTGCATCAACTGCAGTGGTCACAACCGGCAAAATGGCATCCAACCTGGAGTGTCAGATGTCCAGTAAGCTCCTGGTGAAGACAGGTGAGAGACCACTGTCCTTCTGATTTGACCTGAAAGCGGCAAACCTGGTCTCAGAAATGTAGCCAAATTATTTGTCCTTTAGGTCAGGAGTTCTCAATCAGGGATGGGCTTGCCCCACCCCACCCCTAGAGACATTTGGTCATGTTGGGAGACACTTGGTTGTCACACTTGGGTAAAGGGGTGCCACTGGAATTTAGTGCGGTACTGCTAAATATTCGCAAATGCATGGGACAGTCCTCAAAAACAAAGAATAATCCAGCCCCAAATAATCCAGTCTGCTGAGGCTGAGAAACCTTGGTCTTTATCAAGTGTCAGAGGAGAGGAGCAGCACTAGGTGATGTAGATTCTAGTCCTAGGTTCAGTTCTGACATTGGAGGACACTGGGAAATCACCATCCTTCTACTGGGTGGTTTGAGAATGCCAGCGCACACCATGTTTTGTCTGTAGAATGTATCAGTGATGTCTCCAATGAATAAATAATGTGATTCATTTAATACAAAATCATAGAATGTGCTACAGAATTCAGACAGGCTTTTTGTCATGTGTCTTCTGAGTAGATACTAAAAGGACAGCTATGATCCACAAGATGGGAGCCCCAGGTTTCTTTTGCTGTTAAAAAGGAGACTTAAAAAAAAATATGGGCAGGCAGCATTAGAGCCACGAGCAAAGCAGGATGCTATCATTTTAGCCCCAATCCCTAGTGGCAACAAAGCAGGCCTAGGATGCACAGGGTGCTTTTAATAGTGCAGTAGTGTTCACTATAAAAAGCATTAGGCAAATTATTTGAAAGAGCATGCCAGTGTTGAATGCTCGCATTCTGCCTTCCTCCTCGCCCCACAAAGAATGAGATGAAATTATATCTTGAGACATATCCTTTTCTAAAATGGGAAATTGTGAAACCAGGCAGAGCAGAAAATACAGTATCTCTATTTCTCTAGAAATGATACCATCTGGCTTTCCACTCCCCCTCCCTTCTCCTTCTAGATCCACACCTTCTCCTGGAGGGGCAGAGAGCCCAGCCCTCCAGCCTCCTCCGTGCAGGAGCATCTTCCCCCTCCATCTTCACCTCCTCCCATCCCTCGCTACGTCCAGCCACTCAGAAGTTCCTTCTGCTTCTCCCTCGCAGATGCTCCTGTCTGTCCCAGTTTGCACTGCCACTTCCTGAGGGCACACTGTTGTCATCGCTCACCTACTTTTCTGTAATACCAGCCACAGTTATTTCTCTGCCATCAGATCTCCCCACCCTCCAATCTGTTCTCCAGCCCACAGTCAAGGGAACCTAAAATGCATTGCTTTGCTTAAAACTCTTTATTGCCCACTGCAATAGGGGATGGGCTTGCCCCACCCCACCCCTAGGAGACATTTGGTCATGTTTGGAGACACTTGGTTGTCACAGTTGGGTAAAGGGGTGCCACTGGAATTTAGTGGGGTACTGCTAAATATTTGAAAATGCATGGGACAGTCCTCAAAAACAAAGAATAATCCAGGGGCTGGGGATTTAGCTCAGCAGCACAGCGCCTGCCTGGCAAGCGCAAGGTCGTGAGTTCAGTTCCCGGTACCGGAAAAAAACAAACAAAACAAAACAAAACAAAACAAAACAACAAAAACAAGAGTAATCCAGCCCCAAACAATCCAGTCTGCCGAGGTGGAGAAACCTTGGACTAAGTCCACTAACCTAAAGTCCACTAAACCGGGACTAAGTCCACTGACATATTCCACCTCTCTCTCCTGCACCTTTGCACTTGGCATTGCCTGTGCTGGGAGTTAGAGGGTGGAGGCATTTCCTTCCCTTGCCTAGCTCATACTTCTTATCCTGTGGACTCTGCTGAAGCATCAATTCCCATGGAGAATCAATTCCCTGATAAGAGCTTGTTGCCCAACTCGGGGCTGGATGTTCTTCTTAGAAGCTCTGACAGCATTCTGGGCTTCCCTTCCAATAGCACCAGTCACATTTGTTCATACATGCCTAATCTGTGTCCCTCAGCTCTGGGAGGGGCTGCCCCTCTCAGACCTAAGATTGGTTTGGGCTGCAGCACCATGCTCAGGATCTGCACCTAAGTAGGCTGTCAGTGGATGGTGTCTTACTTAGTCATTTACCTATCGCTGGGACAAAATATCCAACACCTACAATTTAAAGGAGGAGAAGTTTATTTTGGCTTATGGTTTCAGTCTCCAAGGCAGAAACAGGATGGCAAAGGGCATGGTAGAGGAAAAGGTGCTCAGCCCATGGCAGCCAGGAAGCAGAGCGTGAAAGGAGGAGCTGGGGACAAGAATACATCCTTCCAGGTCACCCCCCCTGCCACCAGTGACCCACTTCCACCTAGGCCTCTCCTCTTAACAGCACATTCAGCTACTAAACTCATTTGTGGATGCATCTACTGATAAGTACAGCACCCCTGTGATCCAGTCACCTTTCATGAGAGTAGAAGAATGAGAATCTGGAGGGGATGCAAAAATGGTAACAGATGGTGTCAGAGGAGTTTCACTGCATACAGACCTCCCTGGAGCAGGCATTGCAGAGCCTGGCTTTCAAGGTCAGAGGCAGTATGGGTCAAAAAGCGCCATCCAGCTCTTGGTCCGTGAGGGTCACACACATGGCTCAGCCTTCTTTCCTGAGGACATCATCAGGACCAACAGAGCCACTATCCATGCCTATCCTCTCCTCAGTGGGCCTTTGCTTATCAGCTTTGAGCAGAATTTGCAGAAGATGGTGGCTGGGAGGGAGAGGGCTTGTGCATAATGAGGTTTGCACCTCACACTGATTGCTGTGCTTCTGTCTCACCCCACAGTCCTCTTTCTAACCCAAAGGAGAATGCAGAGCAGTGAATCCTTGAAGTTCAGCATAGCCAGAGGGCTCACACAGGCCCTTCGGAAAGCCTTCCACCAGACGGATGTGACGGCTCATGTAAGCTCCTTACCTGATTACAATCCATCTGGGGTCCAGGGTATGTTTAGATGCTTTTTCTCCTTCCTAGGTACCACAGCAGAAGTCAGCTCTTTCTTCATTTTGATAAATAGCCAAGATGTTGTGGCTGGTGAGAAAGGTCATATTTTGAAATGGAAATTAAGACTACTTGCCATTTGTCTTTTCTCTCTCTTTTTTTAAAGCCTGTATTAAACATCCCATTATCCCATCATTTGGGGAGAGTATTTCATATTGTCCTTGTAATTCTCTAGCAGCCATTCATTGCTTTTTCTTTTATCTTCTACAACACTGTAAATCAGGGTTTATTTCTGGACATTCAGAAATTATCCTGACTTGTAAATTGAGTCCAGTTTTGCTTAAATTGCCAGCCATAGACAAGGAAGTAAACTTTTTTTCCCTCCAAATTCTTTAATGCCAAGAGCTGTTTAACAACTACTGGCTGGTTTTGATGGCATAGCCAAGTCATGGAAGCTTTGTTTTATACCCTCTTGGTTTGATTCCAAGTGTTAAAGCAGGAAGCACAACTGGCAGTCAGTGGACTCCCTTTTGCACTGCTTAAAAATATTGTTCTGGCTTCCCTTGATATTCTGTTCGACAGCTGCATTTAGCTTAGTAGCCCCCCCAACCCCCCATCACACCAAAGACTAGAAATGAGATTTGGTGCATATGTACTTTATTGGTCACTGTTAATGTCTTGCAATTCTAAGAGATGGAAAGGAAAGGAAGAAAAAGAATAGAAAGCAATGTATTCCATAAATGGCTTCTGTGGTTCCTGCACCAGAAGCTTGACTTAGAGGTTGAAAATGTGAATGTTCCTATTCAGTTGCCTGATGCAGTTTTCTCTCAACTTCGTTCTCCAACTACCTTGTAGCTTTGGTCTTTTCTGCGCCTCATCACAGACCACTGTAACAATTAGCACTTTTCTTTTCCCTAAATTGCCTTGCTTTTTAAATTTTAAACACATTTCTTTTGAAGGGATATTGGATATGAAGACTGTAAATGGGAACCAAAATTATGTGCCATAAATAAAAGGTGGTGGTAAAAGTGAGAATAATGGAAACCAAATAGCTTGTTAAATTCAAGCTAGATGCTGTTTCCTGGTTTCCTTCTGTTAGTTAAAGAAGGAAGAGGAGGAGGAGGAGGAGCAAGAGAAAGCAGCAGCAGCAGCAGCAGTAGCTAAGATTAGACAGGTGGTGAAAGCAAAGAGTACCTGAACCCAGGCTTGTTCTTTCAGGTAATTACAAGGCCCGGAAAGGAAGCAGTGTTTTCGCTGGGTGAATTGGTATTGTTTGGGGCTGTGTCCATGGTCCACCCTGAAGTTTCTGTGGTTCCACCTACAGTCATCTTTTCCACCATCTCTAGGAGAAAAAAAACCAATGGAGGATGCACTGTGGAGGGGCCATCACACACACCTATCCTGTTGCACAATCAGTTGTCTTGGTTTCCTTGGAAAATCCACATGACCCTGTTGTTTTGGTGCTGGGCATGTACCCAGAGCCTTGCACATGCTAGGCAAGTGTTCTATATCTGAGCTACACTTCCGGCCCCACGGGACACTCCTCACAGAGATGCAAGAATAAGGGAGGGAAGTAGGTGTCCCAAACACCCTGATGGAGAGATTCAGTTTTACAAGATGAAGAGTTCTGCTGATGAAGGGTGGTACTGGTGGTTCCCATTATGCATCTCTTTAATACCACCTGACATTACACCTGAAGGTGATTAAGATGGTAAATTGTTTGTGGATATGTATTTTGTCACAATTGAAAAATGGGGGGCTGAGAATGTATCTCAGTGGTAGAGCACTTGTCTAGTATGTCCAAGGTCCTGGCTTTCATCCCTAGCATGGCAAAAAAAATTAAGAAGTAGTATTAGAAGGAGTTGGGGGAGGGAAGAGGAGAGGATGAAAGAGAGAGAGAAAAAAATGTGTTATGTACATGTACCAACTCCCCATGATAATTGTAATCATTATGTACTGCAAACTTGGACAAATAAGAGAATAAAAATAAATATTCAAAAAAGAGGTTACAAAGAAGTATCTATTGTACATGAACATATGTATGTGTATGTAGTATGTATGTACATATTTACATGTCAGAAATGTGCATATACATATATATGAAGTATGTATTATTAAGGAAAAATAACAAAAACTTAGAAGTGGTTTTATAATTGTATCATGGTGGTAGCAGTAATATTAGAGGTATTTGTTATCTTTGCTCTCTTCTTCATAAATACTAATGCTATAATAAGCATTATATTTAACATATAAAAAGCAAAACAACAGACACTGAGAACTGTTGACCTACAGCACCGAGAAAACAACAAGAAATGAATCTGAAGTCTCAAAATCCTCCCATGGAGGCAGAAAGAGCCCAGGCCATCGGTGTCCCTTAGGACTCAGCAGTGAGAAGAGCTGTCTGCGGCTCATCCCCGCTTGGCTTTGAAGCAGTGTGTAAGCAAAGGGTGGAGCCAAGCCTGAGCAAGTCTCCCCTCTGCTGCCGGACAGAGGAGTCACTTGATTTACTCCTCGATCTATTCCCTGAAAGTATACCCACTTAATTTATCATTTCTGCCTTTCAATTCTCATAAATGATGAGACACAGAACAAAGCTGTTTTCCCAGCATTCCATTCACTTGGAAATCTCTCCTGTCTGCTGTCTCCTCTCCGGCTTTTTGGTGATAATTATTGCTCGTAGGATGATACTGTGGCCCTTAAAGAATGCAAAACCCACAACATTTTATTCCAGGTAAATTTGAGGTCAATTTTATTTTGTTGTATTACGATGCTTTGAAATCTACCAATCTACATAGCACTTTAAAGGGTTATTTGGATATTTGTTGAACGAGAGTGCCCTGTTCCCCAGCCTTCCTAAGTAGCAGTTGTGGCTCTGAGAAACACTTCGAAGAACTTAAAGTATTGTGGGACTAAACGGTGAGCTCTGGGGTCCATTTGTTTTGTAGGTGGACATTCTGGAACATTCTCATAACGTCTCGGTCGGTTATTACGCTACCAAAGGGAGGCTGGTGTACTTGCCTGCTGTTGTGATGGAAATGCTGGGGGTTTACGGAGTCAGCAATGTCACTGCAGATCTGAAGCAGCATACCCCAAACTTACAGTCTGTGGCAGTCCTTGCCTCTCCATGGAAGCCCCAGCCTGCAGGCTACTTCCAGCTGAAAACAGGCAAGTAACCCAGAAGGAAAGGATTCCTGTGCATTGTGGGGTCAGGGGCAATACCACAAGGATGCCTGCTTATAAAATCCATTACTAGCTGCTCTGTCGCATTTTAAGTCCCTGTGTATCTCCTTCAAAAGGCCCTATTAATCAAATGTCCAACTCCCCTTCACATCAGCCTAAACTTTTCTAATCCTGAATGTATTAGAAATATTCTGTCGCAGAGCTTTTCTTCCCAGTTTATATAATTAGTGCATATGACTCCTTAGTATTATATTTTCCCCCCTGTATTTCAGAAGGTGCTAGTAAGAGTTGAGTATCCATAAAATCTATGGTTTGGAGCAGCGGGGTCCCAGACATCACTGAATCCAAACCTCTGTGCTTAAACCCTGGAGTCTTCCTTTTAGTCTCCCTGGGGATTTCTGATTTGCCAGAGTGTGTTAACCACAGAGTGGAGAAACCATTGAAATGGAAACACGCAATCAACTTAGTAATGGAGGTCAATTGATTTTTCCTCCTCCAAAAAGATAGAAGGCATGATCTCTCTGAAGTTATTATATGTCAGTCTTTGGGCAGATGTCTGCATATTTCAACTGAATAAAATCACAACATCCTCTACATTAGAGGGAATCTCAAGTTGGGTCGTGGTTTTGATTTTTCTCTGATAGCAATCCTGTTAAGAGTCATTTTCAAACCTATAATCAAACCTTGTCTGGTCTTACTGTTTATTTGCCTAACTTCTCTAACCTAAGGTCATGCTGCTTTATATCAAAACTGCTATTAAATCTATGGAACAAAGATGCAGAGCTTTAGCAAATGCTGCGTATGATTCTCACTCTAGTGCTACAGTTTGTGAGCCAATCAGACAACATACAGTCCTGTAAGTTTGCTCAGACAATGGAGCAGAGGCTGCAGAAGGCGTTTCAGGATGCGGAGAGAAAAGTCCTCAACACCAGAAGCAACCTGAAGGTTCAGGTAGGGAGGAAGGGGGCTTTGGGATGAGCGATTTACCAGAACCGCAATGCCAGTGTTGGTGAGAAACTATATGGGGCTGCCCATCCCCATTGCAAGGCTACCTTGTGTAAATGTAACTTGTGCTTTGGTTAGGTGATAGAGCACCAAAGTCATGACACTGGTGAGGATATCTGGGGTTGGACTATGACAGGAGGGATGCTGTATCACTGCACACCTTCTACAGTTTGGAATTTTATATTTATTTTCTCATACAGTGCTTCCTCAGACTTTTATAAAACATTTATTATTTTTAAAAATTGAACTAGAATCTACTAATGATTGCATCAGATATATTATAATGCATAAGTGAATCAGTTTTAAATAGCTAATTCTTCAAGATTTTGGACTGGGCTAATTCCAGTCATCCACATGAACAAACATCACACACACACACACACACACACACACACACACACACACAATATTGAGGGCTTACTATATGCCAAGAATTATGCTATGTGTTTTACAAATATTTTGCTATGTAATACTCAAGACATCCTTCTGAGAAATTTTTACCCCCATTTTCTCTGAGTGAGAACTAACAGTGAGCTGATACAACTTCCAGAAGGTCACATGGTTGGAAAAGAATGGGACAAGGACTTGAGCCTGAAGTCCATCCTCTTCTGCACTAAGCTTCCCATCAGTGCAACACAGAAAGAGGGGCCCCCAGGAACTTTTGGCAAGCACATGAGTTCCTTCCCAGAGAAACCGCACCCTAGTGCCCCATAGAGTTCAGCTACCTGGATAACAGCGTACACACCACCAACAGCCTTTCTCAGACCCAATTTTTGCAGTTATGTAGATATCTTCCCACTAAGAACAGATGCTTCTTAATCATCTTCGCCCAGCCCCCAAATTTCTCTAATTAACTCTACTGTTCAGTGTCTCTGTTTTGACTGCTGAACTAAAGCCTTTGCAATTAGACCCAGTGCTTTTGAAATTGACATTTAGCATAAGTGAATTATCAGCAAAGCCAATAAGATGTAAAAAGCATACAATTTAATTTGAATAAGCAACACTCCTTTCCTAGACTCACCCAGAGTGTATAGGGAAGTATCTCATCATGATTTGGTTCCTATTAGACTAAGATCTAAAAATGTGTCACAGACTTAAGATTTATGTAAGGAGTGTGACTCAGCTCTCTTGTGGGGAATCTTTTTTTTTCTGATTGAATTTGTGATCCTCACAGGTGCATGAGCCTAGTTTGATCTTGGCAACAGAAACTATTTTAATTGTATTCAGGAAGCAGAGACTTACTGAGTGTCTGCTACTTTTCAGGCAATGAGAGGGACACCAAGAGAAATAAGCTGCCCTTGGCCTTAAGGAGCCTCTTTTTGTGTACTAGCTATGGACCATCAGGGGAAATTTTGTTAATCAGGTAACACACCTTCCTTGGAAAAGACTACAAGAGGTGATTTGAACATCATGTCTAAATAGATTTTAGATGCTCTTGAACATATTGAAAGCTCTTGAAATTAATGGCTAATTGGATGAATTATTTTATTAATCCTATTTCAGTTTTAGCTTTTACTGACAGGAAGCCCAGAATTTATTCTCTGGATTTAGCAAACCTCTCAGCCTCTATATCATATATGCATCACTGCATGATAACCATTCTGCTGGTGTCTTAGTTATTTTTCTCATTGCTGGGCCAAATACCTAACACTCAAAGTTAAAGGGGGAAAGGTTTATTTAGCTCCCAGTTCATAGAAGTTTCAGTCCATAATTGGTTGGCTCCAAGGCAGGGTGGCACATGGCAGAAGGGTGTAGTTCATGGTGGCACAAGACAGCAAAAACAAGAAGGGGGAACCAGTGCATGGTGGCCAGAAGATAGCAAAGCAATAAGAGGGAGAGAAGACTCTTTCTGTCCCTTATATTGTATGTAGGCTACATGCCCTAGGGTGGGTGTAGCACTCACACCCTTAATCATAGCCATAACTATGCCAAACCATTCAGTGGACTCATTTGCTGTTCACACACCTTTAATCCCAGCATCATACGCTCTAGATTCAGCCACCTCTGAAAAAGTCCTATCTAGAGGGATATCTAGACAGTAACTATAACACCTGGTTTTCTGCCTTTTGGTAGGACCTCATTTTATAATGAATGACTTTTCATTTTTATTGTATGTAATACAGGAATATAAATAAATATATAATATAACTTTTATTAAATCTATTCATAAAGCAACTTTGAATCCTTTGTGGAATAAGACCATATGAATAATTCATTCATTCATTCATAGAATCATTGAAAAAGTGACTTAAAGAAAAGACTTGTATAGCCTTGATATCAGAAGCTGGGTTATAGTTGTCTCAAAACTACATTGGTTGCAACAGATTCTGAGATTTTGAGGCTTAAGAAAAAGAGAAAGTGATTTGCTCCTGTAGCTGAAAAGTTCACACCTTATTTGCTTTAGGTACAACCAGATCCATGTGCTTCAGTGATTTTCCCACAAAATGTTCTCTTTATGTCTTAGCTTGCTTTGCTGTGGGCTGGCATCTTCCTCAGCTCCATTGGGTAGACCCGGCACTTCCAGGTTTGCCTCATCCTTTCTGCTTATGGTTTTGTGGAACCGAAGTGCCTTTCTTGTGTCATTTCTGTCAGAATCCTGGGACTGACTCTCACTGGACCTACAGTGCCCATTTCTGGATCAGTAATGGTGGCCAAAGAGATGATATGTCCCATTCAACTAGGCCTGGCTCAGATGACCCCTCCTGGAGCTTGGGTGAGGCAAGCTACTCATCCAGGGTGCATAGACAAGAAGGAGAGGAGAGGTGACTCCTCAAAGAAAACTGGTGCTGTTGTAGAAGAAAGGAGAATGGACATTGGGCATGTAAACCAACAGTGCTGGCTCCATCTGTCTGTAGGTCTAGTTAGCGAAATGAACATGGCTTGAATAAATGAGAAGTAAGTGGTGGATTCAGAAGCTACAGGAACCCAACAGTAAAGGGGTGATGGGAAGGTGTCGCTTACAGGAGCTGCTTCTGTTGGGGGATAGGGCATGACTTTCAGGGATCAACACTGTGAACTTGATCTCAGGCCTGTGGACATGGTACTTTAGAGCTGGCATAGCCACAGGAACGATCAGTTTTCTTAGCTGCAAAAAACCGAGTATATTAAATGAGATAAAAGTCAATGCAGAGACAACCTGTGTTTGTGGATTGGGAGACTTAAGATGGTAAGATGTCAGTACTGCACAATGCAATCTGCAAATTTAATGCTACTCCTATCAAAATCCCAGTGATTTTTTTGTGGGGGGCAGAGATTGAGAAATCCATTCTAAAATTCAAATGGAATCTCAAGAGACCTTCAACCAAAGCAATCTTGGTTTCACACTTCTGATTTCAAAGCTGAATACAAGGCTATGACCATCAAAAGCTATATGTGATCCCCACATATGGCTGGATACACAGGCCAATGGAACAGAACACAGGGCCCAGAACTAAACCCCCTTTTGTGTGGTCAAGTGGTAGGAGTACCACAGCTATCCAACAGGAGAAGGGAAGTCTTTTCAACAAATTGGGATTTGTTGAAACTGGATGGCCACATGCAAAAGAATAAAGCTGGACCTTTACTTAATATCATCTACCAAAATTAACTCCACACAGATCAAAAACTAAAACTCCAGGACTCTTAGAATATAAAAAAATTTTCATTTGTTAGGTATGCCAATTTGTTGGCTATGACGGGAAGAAATGCACAAGCAACAAGAGAAAAATAAATAAGTTGGACTTCATTAAAATTAAAAGCTTTTGCCCAACAAAACACACTATCAGCAAAGTGAAAGGGCAGCCTACTGAATGGATACAAAAAATTTATAATGCAGTTAATGTCCAAAACATATGAAGGACTCTTACAGCTCAAAAATTAAACAACAAACAATAATTAGAAGTAGACGAGGGACTTGAGTAGACATTTCTCCAAAAGTATATATAACCAATAAGGACTTGAAAAGTTGGTCTACACTTATAATCATTAAAGAAATATACATGAAAAAGCATAATACTGCTTCAATTTATTATGATAGCTGTTCTCAAAAGCAAGACAAAACAAAAACCAGGAAATAATATGTTGGTGAGTGTGAATTAGAATGCTTGTGCACTGCGAGTGGGAATGTCAAATGGTACATCCCATGTGGAAAGCAGTGTGATGCTTCCTCAAAAAATCAGACATAGAATTGCCTTAGGACCTAGCAATTCTGTTTCTGAATATATATTAAAAAGAGTTGAAACCCGAGACTCACACAGGTATTTATATACCCCTACTCATAGCAGCATGATTTACAGTAGCCAAAAGGTGAAATCAGCCCAAGCGTCCATCAATGTGTGAATGCATAAGCAAATGTGATATATATATATATATATATATAGTGGAATATCGTTCAACCTTTGAAAGGAAAGGCCATTCTCACACAGGCTACAGCATGAATGAAAAAAGCCAGTCGCAAAAGGACGAATATTGTCTAATCACTCTTATAACATATAAGTTGTGCAATTAATAAGTGATCTCAGCCAGGCTTGCTGGTACACACCTGTACTCCTTGCACTCTGGAAGGCAGGTGATCACCAGTTTGAGCCCAGTCTGGGCAACTTGATGACTTAGAGACATCCAAGTCTCTTAAGTCTCTGAGCTAGGAATGTAGCTCAGTACAGAGGACCTGGGTTCAGTCATCAGTACTGCAAAAAAAAAAAAAATGACTTCATTCATAAGAATCATCTGGAAAGTAGAGCAGTGGTTGCTAGGGGCTGGGAGGACGGGGACATTGGGAGGCATCTAATGGATACATTTAGGGTTTGGGATCATGAGCGAGTTCTGATGATCGGTGTTGGTGATGGTCACAGAACAGTGCTAATGTACTTAGCGCCACTGAACTGTATACCTAAAAGTGGTTCAAATAGTAAATTTTGTTTCACATATTTTACCACAATAAAAAGTATCATTTATGTGGCCAAATGTGGTATCTACAGAGGTATTCATACTGAAAGCTTTACAGGCTTCTTGGAGATTCAGAGAGATTTAGTTTTGTTGAATGTAAAAAAAAAAAAGGACATTCACAACACATTCACAACAGATAAAGCTTGAAAAGTGATTATTACTTCACATGGTTGGTTATGGAACACTGGGTCTTTCATATACAAGGCAAGTGTGTTTTCACAGAGTTGCAGCTTCAATCCTGAAAAGTTATCTGATAAGCTATTATTTAGTTATTTTGGGGGTGGCCAGGATTTGGCTCAGTAGCACAAGCTCCTGCCTGGAAAGCACAAGGTCCTGAGTTTGATTCCCTGTACCAAAAAAATTAAATAAAAGTAGGTATTTTTTTTTAGGTGGCAGGATGGTGAGGTCTTTTGAATTATTCAGAAACAAGTGCCCATCTTCTTGGTGTCTTGGGACAGAGCCCCCAACCCCTGTGGCTAAGCTGCATTCCAGCAGTACTTCCCCGAGAGGAGAGTTAGGGCTGAGCAGGAACACTGACGCCGTGTATCATTCATGTCATTATGGCTCTGGGTTAGAGAACTGCAAGAGCACGTCCACATGTGGGAGAAAACAAGAAACAGTGGAGAAGCTCTTCTCTGAAGGCTTCTTCCAAGTCAGGTTTTTTTTTTTTTTTTTCTTCTTTGGTCTTTTTGAGGCAGACTGTTGCTATGTAGTTCAGGCTGACCTTGAACTCACTTTGTAGCCCAGGCTGGTCTTGAACTCTCAATGATCCTCCTGCCTCAGCCTCCCAAGTGCTGGGATTACAGGCATGCGCCACCACGCTTGGTTGCAAGTCAGGTTTGAGAGGTACATTGCGAGGATGAGATTTTGATGGTGAAAGCCTGAGCAAGCCTGGGGGGCAGTCAGCCCCCCACCAGAAAGACAGGATGCACTAAAGGAGGGTAATTTGAGGGCAGTTCAGTGAAAGGCACCCTCTTGTGGAACTGTGCATGGGGACAGCACGGCACCTAGGGTAGCAACTCCAGGGCCCTGCTGGCCCTGCAGGGAGGGAGACCTGGTACCAATCCCCTGGTCTCCCTCCCACCCTAGCTCTATGTCCGCTGAGCCATCCCTAGCTGAAGCCAGCAGGAAAGGACCTGCGGGTGGGTGGCCTCCAAGGGTCTGTCTGCAGGACATAGAGCAGGGTGGGTGACAAGCAGATCAGGGGTACAAGACAGGAAAAATGCAGAACCCTGCAAAAATATCTCACCAAGGCAATGACTTCCTTCAGCTATGTTCTTCAAATCTCATCTAGGGGTTATTTTTGTCCATACTTTGACCCAGAAAACCTCATTTTCCCTTACCTATGTAGGGGACCGTGACTCTTAACATATCATTTTAAGATAGAATAATTCTAGTCTTAATGCAAGCCTCAAAATGTGTCTTGACAAACATCCCAGAGAGGTTGTAAAGAGTTAACTTTATAGTCCTGGCTTAGCCCTGGAATGCTTCTCCAAAGACAAAGAATGCCAGGGCCTAGATAACTACCTATGACCTCGCCTGGGTTGTTTCATCCTTTCCCTGGCCCTAGATAAACATTGCAACCATAAAGGAAATGTATGGTTATCTAAAAGAGGACATATAGAACAGAGTACAGAAAGTATATATCATTGTGGTTGGGCTCATGACTGGAACCTGACCAGGGACAAGGAAAACAACATGTGGCCAGGGCTACAACATTCTGATCTATTACCATGGAAACCAAAAATGTATATAAGCTGGAAACAAAGGCCGGCCCACGCCCACTTCCCTTACTTGCAAATGAGGATGAGAGGTGACCTGTCTAAAATCAAACTTTGTCTGTTCTCATAAAGTTCTCTGGTCCCTTGCGGAATACAGCCTGAATTTTGCCATAACGCCTAAAGAATGGAATTAGAAAAAATGTGAGAAGAAAACCATATCATCTCATAGGTTTTAAAAAACATGTTCTCTATGGAATTAAGAGACCACAAACAAATGTAATTTTTCTTTGGAACACATGCTTTGTATTTCTGAATTCCGTTTATCATCGGGTTCTTTTCTGTGCCATGATGAGGCAGGTGATCAAGTCTGTCCACTGTGCATTGCTGCTGCTTTCAACCTTAAAATTCCTTAAGAGTTTGACTCGGTGTTCTGAGTCATTGATCCTTTGTTAACTTAACATTGCTGTGCTCTGTTTTATATTTTTGAAATCATAAAAGTTCCTTGAGACAGCGTAAGTCCCAGAAAGATACAGTGATGGTTAAGAACCTGAAGCCAGATGACCCTGGTTCAAATCCCAGCTGTTACTTTTGAGCTGTCTGACCTTAGGCAAATCTCTCCATCACTTGGAGCCTCGGTTTCCTCATCTATAAAAGGGAGTCATAGCCAGACACAGGACCTAGGGTGCTTGCCAGGGTAAATAAGCTGTGCCCTTAGGGTGTCTCCCAACCACCCTTCCATTCCTACCCTCAACTTCTGCTTAGACTTCACCTCCCACAGCCTCAGTGAAACAGGCCTTCCTCTTATTTGACATGTCTCCCCCCACGTCCTGTGTGTCAATTCAGATCGTGAGCACGTCCAACGCCTCCCAGGCCGTCACGTTGGTGTACGTCGTGGGCAACCAGAGCACTTTCCTCAATGGCACCGTGGCCAGCAGCCTCCTCAGCCAGCTCTCTGCCGAGCTGGTGGGATTCTACCTCACCTACCCGCCGCTCAGCATTGCCGAACGTGAGTACGTCCACGTGGTGAAGTGGAACTCTGGTCGCAGGCCGCATGCCACCCCTGTCATAATAAAATGACACCTGAAAAATGTGCCCGCTGGGGGTTGAATCAATGAGAAGGATATCACATGTCGCGAGAAAGCACTTGTGAGGTCACTTTATCCCTCTCCTGTCTCTTACCTCCTTGAGTCCTCAGAACCATCCTAGAAGGTGGGTGCAAACTTAGAAGAGAAAACTTAGTGTTCACAGGATACCCATAACCAGTGGGACGGGGGAGCTGGGATGTGAACCCCAGCAATCTGACCTCTGAGCCCATAGTGCTGCCCATGAGGGCATCTCTCTCTCCTTGGCCCTCTCCCTGGGGACAATTTAGGTTGCTATGGTTTTCTGCTACCCCGCCATCCACCAATGCTCCCAGACCTTCCAGCCCTGCCCTGACTATAGACACCATAACACAGTCCATTTGCAGTCGGCGTCGTGACTGCACTTGATGAAGTCCGCATAGTCTGTGGCCTCCTCGTCTCTCTCTCCTGCTCCAGTTACATAATGCTCATTACCATGCAGCACGCATAGACCTCCAAGACAATGCAGCCTACTTTTTGTCCCCAAATGCTTGCTTGGTAGCCAAAGGAAGCAAAGGTTTATATTCCTAAATTTAATCCATCTTACATTTTTACAAAGTCACTGGGTAAGATTTTTTTAAAAGTACACATTAGCAAAATTGTTTTATGATTTCCCTCTACTGTTGTTTCTGAGGCTATAAATAAATGAGACAATATGTAGAAATGGAGTACTTAGCACATACTAGCCACTGGGAATTTTTGGAGTATTTATTGGCAAGTTGTTGGAGACATCCATCTACTGAGGAAAGATGACTCTGGGTTTTACGGGAAAGATGATGTCATAAAATAATGGCATTATGTCACATGGCAACATGTGCAGGATTTATTTTTTTTTCATTTTGTGATAGTCTGATGATAGCCACAGCTAAGATTTATTGAGCACTAACTATATGCCAGATACTATCTCAAGTCCTTCATATGGATTACCTCCCAGAGTCCACCGTCCTTGTAAAGCAATATGACACATATTGGTACAAGCATTTGGTTGCTAAACTTAAGCCCTTGACATTGGAAAAATCCATTGTCATTGAGTTAATCATTTCTAATGACATTAGCGATGGTTGGATAATTTTTAAAGACAAAGCTCCAGTGAAGGCAGGTTGAAGGCATGGGTTTTGATGAGGTTCTTTCTGTTTAAGGGGGTTCGGATGGAAAACCTCAAAAATGAGAAACCCACAAACCCCGACAGTCCTTCATCAGAAGGCTGACCTTTACTGAGCGTTTCAGTTTTCTGAACAGCAAGACAGTTTGACTTTATCCCCCAGAGTCCCCAAGCGTGACAAAGCAGGGTTTCACTGCTCGCCTGCTTGTCAGTTCTGTGTTCTAGTTAATGATCATATTTACATGTAAAAGCTATAAAAGTAATTTGATATGTTCTTCTGTTCTTTTTAGCACTGGAATATCCCAATCTTGATATATCAGAAACAACCAGAGACTATTGGGTAATTACAGGTAATTTCTTATTTCCTGCCCCTCTTATGAGCAGGTTGTGTGGTTTAAAAAAAAAGGGGCTGGGGATTTAGCTCAGCGGCAAAGCGCCTGCCTGGCAAGCGCAAGGTCGTGAGTTCGGTTCCCGGTACCGGAGAAAAACCAAAAAAAAAAAAACAAAACAAAAAAAAACTGTATACCTTTCAGTGATACAAGGCTACTTTTCTTTGGTCTGTTTTATAAGTAAGTCAAGGAGTTCCTTCTACAGAGGGAAGTGGGTTCAGAGGTGAGTGAATTCAGCTAAGAAAAGAAATCTCACTGAAGGTGATTATTAGATAAATGATTCAAAAGTGCTACTTTCTTTTTTTTTCTTGTGGCCCTGGGGATTGAACCCAGGGCCTTTGCACTAAGCTACAATCCCAGGCTTTATTTTTTTACTTTGAGACGTGGTCTTGCAAAATTGGCTAGGTGAACATGCAGTCTCATGCCTCAGCCTCCCAGAGTGTTGGGGTTACAGGCATGTGCCACCGTGTCTGGCTACAACTGCTGCGTTTAAAGTCCCCACCCAGCAGCCTCCTCTTGCAAAAAGTGGACCTATAATCAGAAGGGACAGCACTGAGCTGTGAAGGGTTATGTTTCCAGATACTGCATTGTCCTGCAAAAGCCCAGTGCCAGTCAGAGGACAGAGACGAGCATGTCACCACCTCCCCAGCTTGAGTCCCACCCCACGCTGATCCTGGCGAGTCCTCATGGGGAGGGTGGTGAAGAACAAGCAGGTTTGGGTGGCGTTTCCTTTTTTTCCTTGACATTTTTGCAGCTGAACTTCATGAAACAGCAAAAATGTTCTGTTTATATTTTTCAAAAGCCAGATAGTGGCTTTGAAAGTGAGAAAAACAGGGATTAAGTATGGAAGGAGAGGACAGATGTTTGTAGGAGGAAAAGCGGCCAGGGAGAGGAGCAGGGTGGCTGGGGGAGTCTGTGAGCCTGCACCCTGTACTGGAGGCTTAACCCACAGAAAGTTACTTCCGTATGGTTCTGGTGGCCGGGATCAGAGAGCAAGGTGTCGACAGATTGTTTCTCTGGGGCTCCTCTCTGGGCCTTGGAGAGGGTCATCTCCCGCTGTCTTCCCAGGGCCTGTTGGGGTCCTCATTTCCTTTCCTCATGAGAACAGCGGACATGCTGGGTTAGGGCCCTCCTCATGACCTCATTTTAACTTCTGCACTTCCTCAGACACCCTGCCTGCAAATTCAGTCACATTCAGAGCTTCAATGCAGGAATTTGGGGGATACAACTCAGCCGGTCACAAGGAGGGAGGAAGGTCCTTCTGGAGATGGAAGATGAGCCTGGGCAAGCAGGCTGGTCTCAAACACCCTTGTTCCCTGTCCCGTCCCTCCCTCCCTCGCTGTCCAAACAAGTGGCGGATGGGCTGCTGCCTAAAATGCCAAGTAAGGACCACGGGTACCTTCTGGATGAAGCCGCTGGAGACTCTCTCCTAAATTGTGGAAAATTGAATTTTTCCCTCCCCTGCAGAGCCCTCGATATGCAGAGACTATTTTACCCAGTAAGAAAGCAAGCTAAAGAAACACATTTTAAAACAAAAATTTAAAACCAGCCTACCCAGGTTTATGCCCATGAGAGAGAGACCGTGCTAACCCAGCAACACAGTTTTGGAACCAGTGGGTTATATAACATTCGGAGTCGTGTTTCTTCCCCAAGGAACCTCGCTTCTTCACTGGCAGACACTTTTCCCTCCTTTGAACTGTGAGGTTTACATTTGCGTATTACACTTTCACTCTTAAACACAGGCTGTCCTCCACTGCTGGTGTGTCGTTGTCCTCTCCTATTTCCTAGTGTCCTGCCCTGCCTGCGTGTCAGTGAGATCACCTTAAGAGCAAGCGCCACACGTTGTCCTGTTTTCAGGGCTCCCCTGAGACCCCCTTCCCACCCACTCACTTATGTAACCCTCGGTCGTTATGCTGAGTCTGCAGTTGGAGATCGGAGCGGGGTGGCCACCATTGCAGTATTGGGGCTGCTCAGATCAATTGCTTTGCACTCGGGTCAGGCTGGAGCCAGGTTTCAGGGCAGCCCTCTGCCTCCCCTTGGCCCTTGGCCACTTTCAGATCATGTGGGCAGCCACCACCAGCTGCCCCATCATTCACAAGGGGGGATGAGCCGGGAGCTGAGATGAGATAGCTTCATTAAGCCTTTACTCCCCGACAGCTGTCATAGTCTCTCGGTCTCTGCTCACTGCACACCGCACAGAGGACTTGGAGCAACTTCTCCTTCTGTAGTTTGTATTTAAAACCCCAACGTGCTTTGATTTGTTTTCCAACTAAACTTATAGTAATATTTTTTTTTCATACTGTACACTTATCCTCTCCCAGAGGATGGATCCCCCAGTGGAAAACCACTGTCGCGGTGAGCTCTGTGGCCCCTTTCCCTGCCGTTGTGGTACTGGGGATTGAAGTCAGAGCCTTTGTACTGAGCGTCATCCTTGGTCCCTTTGTAATCTCTGTTTTAAGACCATGTCTCATAAGTTGCTGAGTTTCCCAGGCTGGACTCCAACTGGCATTCCTCCTGCCTCAGCCTCTTAGAGTGTTGAGATTGAGGCGTGCAGCACCATGCCCAGATCCTGTAATCCCTCTTTACAGAGAACCTGCGGGCTCCCTACCTTCCAGGGGCCTACAGTTACCTTATTACAGATGAGGCAAGATAGTAATATCCAAGGTCAGCGTTGCTGCCCAACAAGAGGTAAGAGCCCACCTCATGCTGATTAATCTTTATTTTGCTCACTAGAGACAGAATATCCTAGACCCAGTAATGCATGGATTTCCTGTTCTCATCTGTGATTAACTACCCTGGGTGTCCTTGAGCAGGTCACTCAGGCCCTATGAGCGCCACACTCTGACCTTTAGAAGTAGGGAGAAGTTTTAGCTGAGCACAAATTGTTCAGCTCTGAGTGTGTGGGATTCAACCACAAATAAAACAATCTAGCCGGAGTGCAGTCGGCTGGACTGGTCCTGATCGTGTGAATTTTAAAGCCCAGTGCAATTGTAGGTAAAGAAGGAGGAAGACAACGGTGATCTAAAAGTCAGCCCATGTTCTGGACAGAGCTCAGGACTGGAGCCCTTCCTCAGGCTGAGGATGAGTGGCAGGACCCTGGCTGGTGCGCTGGGGTCTGAGCGTCTGTGTCACGTGAGAGATGTGTATGTGCATCCTTCTCAGCTGCCTGCCGGGTGGGCAGAGAGGGCCGTGGAAGCCAAAGCCTGCCATGGTTCTCAGGGGAAGAGAGGGAAGCCATATGCTGGGATACAGTTTTGTAGTCTCCATGTTATTCCTTCCTCTGAGAAGAACTTGTCTAGCAAAATAGGGGTGCACTGTGATGCCAGTTGCTACAGCTTTTTGGTGTTTTGGTTTTTGCTTCTTTTTAAGACAGGGTCTCTCTATGCAGTCAGGCTAGCCTCGAGCTCATGGGGATTCCTGTGTCTCAGCCTCCCAAGTACCGAGGTGACAGACATGTACCAGCACACCCAGCTCGCTACAAGTTACTAACCTTTCATGTGCCCTGTACCACTGTGCTAGAGGCCTTATTCATTGAATTACCTGTTCTTTACAAATGATATAATATTGAGAGCAGATAGTGTTCAGGTAAGGAACTGAAGTCCAGAGAAACTAAGTGACCTACTCAAGAATGCTCAGGAAGGGAGAGTCAGGACTCAAACCTGGGCCATGCCTGTGACCCCAGGTCTCCCCAGCAGCTTCTTCTTTTTTTTCGATACCAGGAATCGAACTCACGACCTTGCACTTGCCAGGCAGGCACTGTGCCGCTGAGCTACATCCCCAGCCCCTCCCCACCAGCTTCTTGGGAAGGACCGCTTTCCTCACAGAGAGCTGCGAGGCAGCATATGAGGGTCGAGCAGGGTTGATTCCTGTATCTCTGGGCATTCCTGCACCCTCCTACACTTGCCTGGAGGCAATTTCCTCCCCTCAAATTTTTATTGTAAAATACATGATATAAAATTTACCATTTTAATCATTTTATCGCACAATTCAGTGACATAAGGAGTATTTACAATGCTACACCACATGAACAGCATTTTCTATTTCCAGAACTTCTTTATCACCTAGGAGCTTTGGACCATTGCCTCTTTCTGATTGATTGATTAATTGATTAATTGATTGATTGATACTGGGGTTGCAACCCAAAGGTGCTGTTCCACTGAGCACATCCCCAGCCCTTTCCACTTTTCGTTTTGAGACAGGGCCTCACTAACCTGCCCAGACTTGAATCTTCCTGCTCCGCCTCCCGAGTAGGTGGGATTACAGGTGTGCGCCACCACATCCAGCTTGACTGTTGCCTTTATAGGAAGTCCACCTTTGCACCATGGCTGACAGGCCCATAAAATAACCCATGAGGATGTCCCTTGACTGTCATGTGTCCCCCTGTGTTTCATCCACTGGTCAAGAGAGGCCAGGTTAGATATAACACTTCAACAGGTTGGTCTGTAATTTCATTAGAAGTGGGCTTTTTTTATCCTCCAACATCTGGGCGACATGAATGTCCCCAGTGCTGACACAGTGAGAATAAAGCAGCAGTTCTTTGTCTTTTTTGCAGGGATTTCATCTGACAGATAAGCTGGGAATCTCTCACAAGGGCCCTAGAAAGAGAGCCGCTTTATACCCTCCAGGGGGATTATTTGACATTTGTGACTTCAAAGAAGTAATCTCAAAGACCCAGCTGTGGGTTTTACTTCTCTCTTGATCAGTTTCAGCGTCATTCTCGTAGCTTGCTGTGGTTGGCTGCTTGGTCTGGCCCTGTGTAGAACGTGCTCGTTAGTGTTGGTTATGGGCAGCACCCCGCTGTACCGGATGCCATAAAGACAGCGTGCTCTTTACACCCAGGCAATTTCAGTGTCCTGGTGGGGGCGTGGCATCAGTGATCCTTGGCTGGACTGTGGTAGAACAAGCTCTATTAAATGAAAACATTTTTTGGTTTTCTCACCCCTGTACATTTTGGTCTCTTGAAGAAAACGGTTGTCATTTTTAGTGCTCAGAGTTTTGGTATGACTGCGTTAGGAGGCAGTATATATGTGTTTGGAGTAAAGGAGGGATAAGGAGTGAGCACGAGACTTTGGGGTAGATAGGAAGAGGCAGTTTCTGCCATAGAAAGTGAACACAGCTAGAATGGCCCTAAAAGCTCATTAAACCCTCCTCCATGTACTAGCCCCGGCCTGAAGCTCCAGCATCAGTGCCTTTATGTTGATTCCAGTTCTCTGAAGCCTAGCAGTGGAGGAGGGGTGGGAGAGGAAGGAGCCACATTTACCTTCCGTGCCCTCGGCACAGTGCTGAGCTGCTTTATACCACCTGGTGCCCACTGGAAATGTTCGCTGTGATTTCCACTGTCTTACTCCCTTTTTATAGGGAAGGACTGGGATTTGAGGTAGTCGGTTGCCAAAAGCCCCAGGGCTGGCAAGGGCCAGGGATGAGAGCGAGCCTGCTCTTTTCATTAAGTTGTTCCTACTCTTCAGTGGGAGAGGACCTGAGGGCTCCTGGGAACCTTTAGGAGTGGGAACCAAAAGAACTCTGCGGAGGAGGGAGAGATGAGGACACCGAACAGAGCAGTATGCTGAAATATAAGATGCTGAGTTGTCAGATGTAGCTGAGACTCCTCAGCAAAGCTGTGGAGAAAGAAAACTACACTCAGTACAACCCTCAGCCATGGCTTTGGAGTGGGGATCAGCCAATTTACTGTTCCTGCAGCTGTGCTGTGTTCCCAGGTGGACTTAGCTGCACAGATCATCCTAAAGAAACTTCAGGTTTGATACAGCAGTGTTAGGTCACAGCTCATAGAGGAAAGCAGGCTTGGGTTTGCACTCTGACTCTTAGATAAGTCACTTAAGCTTTTCAACATCTGGAACCTGTGGATGGTGATTCCTAACTCCTGGGCTGTTGTGAAGGTGAAGTGAGGGAAGGACCCCCAAGCCCGAACAGGAGGCAGCGCAGTGGCCCTAAGTGGCCACACAGGGAAAGTGTTAGTTGTGGTCACTGAGTCAGGAAGGAGTCTGGTCAATGAGCATCCCTTCTGCCTTCTGCACCCGCAGTGCTGCAGGGTGTGGACAACTCGCTTGTGGGCCTGCACAACCAGAGCTTTGCCCGAGTCATGGAGCAGCGCCTCGCCCAGCTGTTCATGATGTCCCAGCAACAAGGCCGGCGGTTTAAACGGGCCACCACCCTGGGAAGCTACACGGTGCAGGTAGGTGTGTGCAGTGCCCCTGTGGGGGACACTTTCTTATGTGTACGGGGGAGCATCCTGGCTGTCACTGGTATCAACCCAGCCCTGAGGTTTTGGAGGGTGAAGGTCATTTCCAACTGCCAGTATAATCAATAAGAAAGGAAGTTTCCAAACAGATTCCGCACACATGCAGACATTTATAAAACTAAAAGTTCTGCTGTCTGTATTTAGTCAATTAAAACACAGAGCCTTCCAAGCTTGGAGTGAACATGTGACCACCTAGCGATTTAGAGAGGGGCCTGGGGCAAGCACTCGTGTTGCTCAGCCCATGTCCTCTCAGCTTTTCTAAGCATGCCAGCTGAAGTTCCAGCACCCGCCCCCGAATCTGTCCTGCAGGGCTGCTCTTGGAATACTGGGAGCAACTTTGCCCAAGTTCTACTCCCTGCTCTGGTTTCTCTTCAGATCGCATAAATCTTTCACCTTTTACCAAGTTCTACTCCCTAGAAAGGTGTAGGAATTAACCAGTGGTTGGGGGTCAAATACCTCTGCTCCCTCTCCTCTCCTCTAGGGAAATTCTGAAATGTATCTTCAAGATCATTTCCAGACTTTCCCACAAAAGTAAGTTCCAGTCACCCAGTGCAGTAAATAGCTTAATAGACTCTTCTCACCTTGTATTACCCTCTTACCTTCCTCTCTGTTCCTCGCTCCGCTCAAACTACAAGTACTTAGCTCTTTTCTGGGTTTACTTCTGAGGGAGTCCACTCAAGGCAGTCCATAGTAGCCAGGCCCACCGAAGCAGTCCTAAGCCTCCCCTAGATACCTTGCCCAGGTCTAGCAAGAGTGGGAGTCTTGCATATTCTAACCAACCCACATATTTTGAATACCACTAACTTCACCAGTGAGAACTCACCTCTCATCATTATGCTAATTACCAAAGTACTCAGTCGCTACCCCTGGAGAGTGGGCTTTCTCATTGGACAGTCTAGCAGGCTGCCCCTCATGTGAACTTCTAACTGGTAATTGAGCATGTCTAGCACACATGCAATCTGTCAAACAACCCATTTTCTCTCCCTGCGTGAGTCAGCATCACGCCCCTGGCAGCGACTGTAGGTCCCCTTATTCACAGTTGTGAATTTGGCCCTTGTCTTACGGATGTTGCTTTGCTTCTGAAAGTCTCTGTGGTGCCTGAAAACCCCATCACAAGGTAAGGGGACAGTTAATTTTATATGCCGGGTTTATAATTTCTCCTTTGTGCATTCCAAGCAAGCCCTCTAATTCACACTTCTCCAAAAGACAGAAAGGAAGCCACTGGTGCTCAGATTACAGGGATTTGCACCTCTGAAGGGGAGGAGAGGCTCCTCCTACAATTCTGATGTTTCTTGTAACCCTAAGCAACCTAACACATTCTGCATGTCTAAATGGGCCCAGAGATGTGTTTCCTCTCATTTTTTCCCTCAGTGCTTGGTTCACTTGTCCCTGTGGTTGACTGGAGAGTCAGAGTGAAGCAAAGTGGTTTATTTTTATAAATCCCCACTTTACAGAGACTTTAGATGGCCTCTGGCATCGCTTTTGGAAAAGGCATGCTAAGAAGAATTCGCTATTAAATTCAAAATTAAGTGGAGCCAGTAGATACCTGAGTGATGATTCACCCCTTCCTGGTTTTACTAACACTCTCCTGCCTCTATTCCCACCACAGTAAGGGAAAACATGCCGAACCTTCCCTGCTGAAATTCAGTCTACATCACTTCTACTTCCCTTTCACCCAAAAGCTATTTTTCTGGACTCAGATAATTTTAAAAGATGAATTTCCTTCACGAATATGAGTGAGATGTCAAGAATTTAATATTTCTCTAGTTGATCTGATAGGAAAATTGAGTTCCAAGAAGACATCATCTGACCTGTGAACATTCAGATTTTTGACTGCATCTGTAATCAACGTAATGCAAGTTTTAGACACCATTGAGATGCCATTGTTGCCTAGCAATGATAAATAAAATGACATTATCCAGTGTGGGTAGTGATGAATACTTTGCTTTCAGACAAAGCAACCAATGTGAACTTCTTGGAAGGAAAATGAGTAATTTAGACAAGAACTTTCAGATAGTTACAAATTCCTCTTGAGGAGATAGGGGTAAACACAAAAGACAAAGGGTAAGGACAGTGTTTTCCAGAGTGTATCCAGAAAATGAGTCTTTAAGCTTCCTGGCTTGGGCAAGGTCATACCCTGTAAGTGTTCCTTAAAGATTCCCAAAGCTCATTTCACAAAGCATAACCAACTTCTAAGACAAACTCAAAGGAAAGAACCTCCTTAATTTTGTTCACCATGGTGGTTTCCAAATTTAAATGTCAACAAGGCCCCTGTTTTTAGTGATATCTATGCTACATTGTTTAATTATGAACATTCTCAAGCTCACAGAAAAACTGAAAAGAAATTATACAGCAAACACTAATATACTCACCATCTAGCTACTACAATTAATATACTATGTTTCTACTTTATAGAAATATCTATATTTGATAACATGTATCACTCTTCTACACTTCTGCATATCTTCCATAGCATATTTCCATATACTTTGAAATCATAGATGGATTTTGAAGTTCTAGTACTTTATACATATGGAATGCTTAGTATATACTCATAATATATATGCTTAAGACTCAGTACTATAGTGTTCTTGAGGTTCATCCATGTTGTGTTATCTAGAAGTTTATTCATTTTTATTGCTGAGTAAACTAAGAATATTCTCTTATGTGACTATAATGCTGTTTTTTGGTTTTGGTTTTTTTGTTTGTTTTTGTGGTACTGGCAAAAAAAAAAAACCAAACCCCCCCCCCAAAAAAAAAAAACCAACCAACAAACAAACAAACAAAACAAAACAAAACAAACCCAGGAATGCTTTACCACAGAGTTATATCTCTATTGTTTTGTTTTGTTTTGTGTGACAGGGCCTTGCTCAGTTGCTTGGGTTGGCCTCAGATTTGTAATCCTACTGCTTCAGCCTACTGAGTACCTGGGTTAGAGACCTGTGCTACTGTGCCCAGCTTTCTCTTCTTGTGCTGATAGACACATGGGCTAGTTCTAAATTGTAGCTATTAAACAAGATGACTATACACATTTTTCTGCATAGATCATTTTGGGGCCATGTGCTTTTACCTCGCTTAGGTATATAGGAGTAGAATTGCTGGGTCATAGGTTGGCATATTTTAGCTCTATATGAAACTACCAGATCTTGGGCATGGTGGCATATGTCTCTAATCCCAGCACTGGGGAGCATGAGGCAGGAGGATCATTGAGAGTTTGAGGACAGCCTGGGCTACAAAGTGAGTTCAAGGCCAGCCTGAACTGCATAGTGAGATCCTGTCTCAAAAAGACCAGAAAAAACAAAACAAAACAAAACAAAACCCACCACAAAAACAAACAAACAAAAAAAGAAACTACCAGATCTTTTCCCATTGTGGTTATACTATCTTACACTCCACCAACCAGATAATAGGATTCCATTTGCTTCACATATTTATCAACAAACACATGGTATTGTCAGTCCTTCTTATTTTAGTCCACCACTGGTAGGTGGACAGTGGTGTCACCTAATTTAATTTGAATATCCCCGTTGAGCATATTTTATGAGCTTACTGGGTATTCAGATACTTTATTTATTAAGGTTTTGATCTGATCTACTGCCCATTTTTATTGTGTTCTACTAATATCTCCTTTTCAGTGGTTAGATATAGCATGCATTCAACAGAATGTAAAAAATATGTGGTTTCAAGTACACTAATGAATAGGAACCACAACTAACCCAAAGGGCAAGAACATTACCCTCTCCTTAGCCCCAGGAGCTTGTCATGTGCCTTCTTTCCTAATACTTCCTTCCTTCCCGTCAGAGTTGAGCATGATTCTAAATTTTGTATTAAATTGCTCCTGTATTTCCTATATAGGTTTTACCATCCATATACATATTTTTATATAATATGTCATGTAGCTTTGCCAGTTTTGAATTTTATATTCTGTGATTCATTTCTGTTGTCCAACGTCAGGCTTTTGCATTGATCCACACTGATGCAAAATAGTCACAGTTCACTCATTTTCACTACTGTACAGTATTTCATCCTGTGGCCACGCCATTACTCACTTATCTGGACTACTTTTAATGACTTTTAAATTTTCAGATTTTTTTTGCTATTATGAACAAAATTGCTATCAACATTTTAAAATGTCTTTTAATAGCCTATGAAGCTAAAAATCTGTACTATACACTGTACTTTGGAAAATACTACACTATACTATAATGTTTATCAGTTGTTAATGTTAAGAACAAAAAGTTGGTGCCTTACATGCTCCTTATAATAAAGGAACAGTTAAGTTTACCAGGCATGCATATAGTAGAACACTATATAGGCATTGAATATTTAAGTTTTTACATTTATGTTTATCCATTATTAATTATAGGAGTGAAAAACTAGAAGCAGTGTTTAATAATAATGCACTTGTTAAATAAGTTTGTGAAGTAGGTACTTGAAGACCACGCAGAAATAAGTATTTATGCTTTCAAAATGCTTGAGGCCATTTAAAGATGCAAGCACAGTTAGCAAGGTATAATATTTTATAGACAGCAGGAAAAATAATTTTGTAAAATTACAAAGGAAAGGTTTCTGTGGCAAAAAACAGACACGACGAGGGAATACTCCACAGAATAGTAGTAATTAGTGGTGGTAAAAGCATTCTAGGTTATTTCTATTTTATTTCATTTACTTATTTCATTTCATTTCATTTTCTGTACTTCAAATCTTCCCATATATGTATAACTTTTATAATAAAGAAAAGTAGAAATACAGTAGTATTTTAGAAGACAAACTTAGAGTTTCCAAGTACTGCATTTATCAGTGACCTTTTGAATTGCAGATGTATAGGTTAATTTTCTTTTCTCCTTTCTGCCAACTGCAGACATTTGAAATTAAAAATCTTGTTTGAAAATAACCTAGCGTGCCCTGAATTAATGTGGAAGCCTATTTTCAAATGAGGCCAGAGCTCTGTGGGGCCTGAGAAGCATCCTATTCCATGTTTTTGCCTCCAACTTCAAACTGTGCTTTCCAGATGTTCATATTTTTCAAAATCTTTTCCCCCACTTCATCTCCCACTCCAGCGATAGCAGGCTTCAGGTGATTGACTGAAGGGAGGGCAGTTAAGGTTGATGTCTGTCTTATAAGGTGTGGGTCCACTTAACCACAGCCCACTTTAGCAGGGGCGGAGAATCTGCTGATCTCCCAGGGCTGCTGGGTCAGTATCAGATGCACTGTCAACACACAGCCTTTCTTTTTCTAAAAGATGGTAAAGATGCAGCGTGTGCCAGGACCAAAGGACCCAGCGGAGCTGACGTACTACACCCTGTACAACGGGAAGCCATTGCTGGGGACTGCGGCGGCCAAGATCCTGAGCACCATTGACTCCCAAAGGATGGCCTTGACCCTGCACCACGTTGTCCTTCTACAAGCTGACCGTAAGGGGACAGTCTTTATTCTGGATTTTTAAAGCCATTAAAGGTTTCCTTAGAGTCTGAGTCTCCCGACTCATGTTAATGGTGTCAGAGTTAAACGTTTTTCTACTCTGGAAGATTCTTAAATCGATCAGCTATGTTTTCAGTGTTGTATGGAGCAGTGCGTTGTGGGTAAGCAGTGTGGTCTGTAATATCCAAATTACCTAATGATGTCACTCTGCCCCCAAAGTGACACCGCTCTTACCCTGTCCCTGTAATCTAGAAACTAGCTACGAAAGATTGCTACAGCTGAGATGACGTTTGTATGCCTGGGAAATGAAAGATAATTTGATTCAATAGACTTTTATAGAGTCCCATATGAACTATACCTGGTGCTAGGGGACACACAGATGCAACTGAGACCTGGCTCCTGCCTTTAAGGGGCCAGGAGTTAATGCAGCTAGAAAAAAAGATACTGCATGAAAGGCCTGGCCTAGGCAGTGTGACCCAGGGACCAGCAGAGGGAGCTTTGCTTTGAAGGGCCATCCGGAATGAAGGTACAAAGGACAGTAGCCTCTGTGAGTACCCTCCCCGAGACAGCTACTGTGCTACTTGCTTCGCCTAGATTTTCTCACCTTCTACTCTCATAAGAGCAGTGTTTATTTAGCTCTGAATTGCAAGGAAGGATACTGAGTCTCAGAAGAATGAAATAACCTGCTCAGCACCACAGAACTGGTACTTGGGTAGCCAGGATATCATCTGGGTGTGTCTGACTTCAGAGCTGTGCTCTTAGCTGTGTTCCAGCAGACGGAGAAGAGAGGGTGTGTTCCAGCACAACAGCCCGAGCAAAAGAATGGAGAGAAGAAACACCAGGTGCACATGGAACACAAGGCGTTTGCACGGCCAGGATGAGCAAACAGGTGGAGGAATTGATGGAATTAGGAAAGTGTGCTGATCAGGAGACTCGGTCCTTGAATGGCAGGAGGATGAGATGGTGTATAATTTGAGAATGATCAAAAGCAGGGTTCATGTTTAAATTTTTTAAAAACAGTATGACACTCCCCTCCCTTCAAACACAACCCACCGTTCTTGCCACTTTTCTCAAGCAGTTCTGCAAGTCCTCTTTCATAAATGTCTCTAGCTCTGTAGTCACGGCTGCCTCAGTGTCCTAAATTGCTTCAAAATGTTTACCTTGTATGGTCATTTTGACTTTTGGGAAGAGTCACTTGGTGCCAGATCCAGTGACGAAAGCAGATGAGGACACACAGTTGCGATTTCATGAGTCCACCTTTCTGTTCAGTGGTACTCAGCACATCTGAAAGACACTCACGAGAAAGGACTTTGAGAACACTTCAGAAAGTGACAAAAACAGCGGGATAAGTGTGCTCAAAGTGAGGGAGAGTATTTTGAGGGAGATTGACTAACAATATGTCTTTTATTGTAATAACTTTAAAAATTCAGACACACTGTCTTTTTTGACCAGCCCATATTTTGGGAGTGTGGGGAGCTACTAAAGATGTCTGAGTAGAGCAGTATCATTGGAAGTGTAGGGAGGTTAATTGTGTCCAGGATGGGAGAGGACAGGAAGTGGCAGACCCAGTGGGGAAGCTGTGGGGTGTCCCGGGCACTGGGGACCTAAACAAAGGCGGTAAAGAAAGTGAGGGAGGGAAGGGTGTGAAGGTGTGAGATTGTGTGTGGCAACATCCCGAGCAAGGAAGGCCAGGGAAGCTGTCCTCTCCTGCGTTTCCTAGCTGACGTCCATGCTGCTCAAGAAGCAGTGGGTTGGCATGCACACCTGGCTCACGGTTTTCCTCGCTTCCTCCTCACTTGCCTTCATCAGGCAAACTTTTGCTTCGAGCGTGACTGTTCTGACCACATGTTATCGTCCTTGCCAGCACCTTTGCCTAGGAGTGATGCTGGCCACTCTCCACAGGCTAGTTTCTTTTGTTTTGTTTTGTTTTTTTCTGGTTCCGGAACAGGCTAGTTTCTAAAATGACATTTTTAACTGAGATTCTCACCCTCTGCCTTTCTCCCCTGGCTTCCTCTCAGGCTCTGTCTTCATCTCTGTCAACTACTCACTTCCTCTCTTTTGCTGCAGCCTCTCTCAGTGGATTCCCCAGGGTCCACTTCTCTCTTTTCCTCCCTCTCCCTCTCTCTATCCCTCTCTCTCATCCTAGAGGACAGGAGTGAAAACCACTTGAGGTGCCAGGAGAGAGGCGAAGGCCCTGGAGGCAGAGGCTCAGAGAAGCGGATGGATTCAGAATATTTGGGTGAACAGAGCTGAGGACAAGAAAATAGATTCTGTATGTGGCAGGAGCAGGAGTGGGGTAGGCGGAGGATCCGAGGGTGACTTCTAGGTATTGGCTTGAGCGCAGTTTGTGGTGCCATCTCTTGAGATACAGAAGATGCAGGACAAAGAGATTTCCTGAGGCTGGGATGTGAACGTGGGAGATGGAACTGAGAGTCTGGTTTTTGCCACATTACCCTTGAGATGCCCACGAGACACCCCTGGAGCTCAGGAGAGGTGGATGTGGGAGTCATCGATGCATAGATGACACTGAGAGATGAGGGGTGGATGAGGGTAACTAGGAGGGGAGTCTGGCTAGAGAGAAAAGGGTGGCAGTGGGGCCTCATTCACCTGCAAAAGAATGAAAGACAGCAGAGCATACTGAGAAGAAGCAGCAAGAGATGAGGGGAAAGCCAGGAACAAGTGGGGCTCAGAATTCAAGGAAGAAAGAGACTCTTGCAGAAAGGAGTGAACCGCTGGGGAGAGGTGAGGCTCAGGCTGCTTGGGAACCTGTAGGATTGGGAAGGTGGCGGCTGGCTGCGACCTTCGTGGTTGTTTCCAGGGTGAGTCTGGCTGTGAAGAGGACCTCCGTTGGGAAGTAGTGACATTCATCTCAAAAAATGCTACTTAAAGGAAGCGGTGGAGTAGCATTTTGGTGAAAGATACTCACTCTTGTTCATTCCTTTAACAAATACGCATTAGGCATCTACTGGCCTAGGTACTGGAGAGACAGCAATGAGTAAAACTGACAAAGAAGCCCCTGCCCTGGTGGACCTAACATTCCTGGCAGGGCGGATTCAGGAGATGAAATAAGCAATGAATTAGATGCAGTGAATTATAATTAGATGAGTGCCTTGGGGGAAGCGGGCAGGGAAGGGCTGGGGAATATTGAGGATGCAGTGGTTACAGTTTTAGATGTTTGGGAGAGGTGTCAAGACCAGGATCAGTGGGGAAGTGAACGGCTGAGGGGAGTGGGGAAGGAAATGGTCCCCCTGGATACTTGCAGATTCCCAGCAGAAGAGAGTTTGAGACCCAGCAAGAGGGTGACTGTGTGGATGGAGTGATGTGACGTCACAGGTACAGATGAGGGCCATGGTCGCTGAGCCTCGTGGGTGGCTCCGAGGGGGACAAAAGCCACCAGAGGGTTTGGGCAGGAGAAGGACGTGGACCAGACACCTGCCAGCTGCTAGGCCCTGTGCACACTCTCCCTGGCATCCACGTCCACCAGCTGTGGACTCTAATGTTTGAGACGTAATAGGTGCTGGCCTCAAAAAGGAGCTGGAAACACTCTCAAGCAGGTTCCTCCTCCTTTCAACGCCCGCTCCACAGGAGGATACTTCATTCTGCACTTGGACCATTCAGACCTTTGACTTCTTTCCTTCTGACGAATGCTCCTGTGTCCATGTGTAAAACTCACTCTTCTGTTCATGTGTGAAAACTCAGAAATGATGTAAAGCTTTGTTCTAGAGAAATGACTTTTCAGTATAAGTGTCCAACCTCCCCAGGGTGGGGTTCAGTTTGATCCACTGTGACTTGGGATGACATTAGCACCGACACTGGACCTGACACAGAATAGGTGCTCAGAGCATGTTGTCTTCGTTTCCTTTCTGTCCTCTGCTCACACTCTTGCAATTTAAACAGCCAGTCATTCCTCTTCACCTCTATACATGACTTTGTACTTTTAGATCAGGAGCCAATCGAATGTATTGGGTGTGTATGACTTCAGTTGACCTAACTTTAATGTTGCTTTGACCATTAAATGACTTTGTTAATGTACCAACATAAATCTGTTCTTACCTTTTCAATAGAAGTGAAGGGATTTTACATACTGAACCTAGAAAAAAACACATCCACCAAAACAATGAAACTGAGGAAAAGGCAGAGCACATGCATACTTCATTCTGGCTAATAAGAACAATCATACTTATGTATTTACCTGGCATATAATGGAGACTCTGTACATTTTTATCCATCAAGATAGGATAGTCTGGCCAAAGAGCCATACTGACAGTTTTCACAGAAGCTCTAAGCTTTGAAAAACGTTAATGGCACAAGCACAAGACTCACATATAAATTCTGAATTACTAAAAGCAGTAGCAGTTAAGTGGGTAATGTCAACAGAAGCACGTCATCTGGTGGGCTGTTTTCAGAAGTTAATAATTTTTTTTTGTACCAGGAATTGAAAGAAGTTAATAATGTTTTTAATCACTGGTTGATAAAAGCTGTGGGAATAGACATTTTTTGTACTAATAATATTCTGATCCCAAAGGCAGCCAGATGACAGGCAGATCTTGGCTAACAAGGGACCAGTTGAAGTCAGGAGGTGGCTGAAGGCAGAGAGGAGGCTGCTGGACCCTCAGACACTCTCTCTCCATATGGTACCTAACAGTAGGGTCTTCACATTCCAAAGTCCTTAGCTTTGGGAGTTCACTTTTATTGTTTCGGAGGATGCTTTTGTTTGTGGTACAGTATGTACACTTTCTTCAAGTCTGTTTAAATGAGGATGGAATAGATTTGTCTTATGTACATTAATAAATTCATTTGGTGGTCAAAGTGTTATTTAAGTTAGGTCAGCTGAAGTCATTCAAACCCAGTGCATTCAATGGCACGTGGTCTAAAAGTACAAAGTCATGTGCAGAGGTGTTCCATCACAACTCAGCAGGATTGGGAAGACCAAGTTTGGCTAACCAGACTCTAAAAAGAATGATCCCTAAACCGGATTTTGAGGATACTAATTTAAATATGGACTAGAATAACCACACAGATGGGATTTTTAACTTGTTGATTGTCCTGTTAGAATATTTCTGTGGGGAGCCAAATTGCAACAGGGATAGTGGTAGTTCATGTATGTCTTCAATTTTTAATTGAACACCTATTATGTGCAAGACCCTATTACAAACCATTACAGAGTCTTCATATCACCAGTGAGGAAAAGTGATATGGATCCATCTTCCTCCTCTTAATACTAATGGAGGATATTTTTATTGAGCCCCATACGGGAGCCCACACTAAAACATTACAAAATGATACTCCCATTTTACAGAGGAAGAAGCTGAGACTCAGAGAGCTCAAGTCACTTCCCCAAGGTCACATGCTGTTGAGACACTGGCTTTCTGACCTTAAATCCTCTTAACCTCTGCTGCCTCCCACCTATCTCAAAACTTGGGGGTGGGTTGGGGACATTTATGTCTGATGCTCCTTGTCACATGCTTCCTGCTGGCTCCTTCCCACAGCTGTGGTGAAGAACCCACCCAACAATCTGTGGATCATTGCCGCAGTCCTGGCGCCCATTGCCGTGGTCACGGTCATTATCATCATCATCACTGCCGTGCTCTGCAGGAAGAACAAGAACGACTTCAAGCCGGACACCATGATAAATCTGCCTCAGAGAGCAAAGGTATGCGGGGAGGCAGGGAGGGAGCAACTGTGGCCTGCAGGCCTTTCCTGCTGGGCTTTGGAACCATCATAGGAGCCTTCAGAAACACTGATTCGAGTCCTCCTTGGGAGGAGACCCTCTGTTTCCTGCTCAGAACATGATAACTAATGCTTATCTGATGCCCACTCTTTGCCACATATGCTCACAGGCCATTGACCTGTAGCAGCCCTCTAATCCTCACAATGACCTTTTGAGGAAGGACCATTACATTATAGATGGAGAAACTGAGGCACAGAAAACTAGGTCCCACAGAGAACTGAAAGGACTTTACAGATGACTTAATTGGATTTCCTCCCTGTACACATGGAAAGTAACTCCTTCAAGGTCATATGGTTTGTAAGTGGCAGAAATAATGGTAGAGCCAGATCTGTTATGGTTAAAATGTTTGTGTCCCCACATCCATATGCTGAAATTCTAACTCCCCGGGTGATGGTGTTAGGAGGTAGGTCTTTGAGAGATAATTAGTTGATGAGGATGGGGCCCCAGGATTGAGGTTAGTGGCCTTGGTAAAGAAGCCCTGGGTAGCTGTCTTGCTTCCCCCACTGTGTGATGATGTAAGGAGCGGGCAGTTTGCAGCCTCGCAGAGGGCCTTGTCTTCTTGCATTCCTGTCGCTGGACACAATACCCAACATCTGAACTGAAAGGAGGAGAGGTCTATTTTGGCTCACAGTTCCAGTCCATGGTTGACCGACGCCAAAGCAGAAACAGGATGGCAGGGGACAGTGGCAGACAAAGAGTTGCTCATGACATGGTGGCCAGGGAAAAGAGAGAAAGGAGATGCCTGGGAAGGAGATATACCCTTCCAGGTCCCACCCCCAGTGACCTGCCTCATCCAACCAGACCCCACCTCATCCAACCAGACCCCACCTCATCCAACCAGACCCCACCTCATCCAACCAGACCCCACCTCCTAACAGCACATTCAGCTGTGAACTCTTGGGTGGCCTAACCCAGTGATGGATATATTGCCCCTGAGATCCAACCATTTTCCAAAAGTCTCACCTCGGAACACATGAGACGCTGGTGGGGGAACATCCTAGATCTAAACCACAACAGGCCCTCACCAGAGCCCAACCACACTGGCATCTTGATGTTGGATTTCCAGACTCCAGAACTGTGCGAAGTAAATGTCTGTTGTTTATAAGCCTACCAGTCTATGGTATTTTGTTGTGGCAGCCCAGCCTGGTTATGATACAGTCTGAGCCTCTAATGCAAGCTGCCTTTGGGCATATTGGCTCCCAGATGTTCTCCTAACTGAAGTGACCTTTCTCCAGTGGCTGCCATGATGGAAAACTACAGGCCCAGAGCAGGATAGCTGCCGAAAGACAGACCCATGGCTCCCCTGCATCCTGGTTTGAGCTCCATTCTCCCCTGTTGCCTGCACATCTCCACCCCATCCACCTCTAGTGACTGACAGGCAGCGGACTGAGGAAACTCTGAAGGCTAATTTTCCAGTCACGTAGCCACCTCTGTGATATTCCCCCAGAGGAATATCCTGACTGTAATACTCGGTGTTTAAATAATGCCTTACAATTTGCTAAGCTCTTCTAAATCTGTCACCTCGTTTGTTCCTCACGGCAGCCCTGTGAGGTAGGTCACAGTCAGGGCAGGTTTTATTATCCTCACTTAGCTACCAAGAAACCAAAGAGAGAAATGTTAGGATTTGTCCAGAGTCACACAACTAACAGAGGCCCACACCTGAATCACTGAGCTCTTTCCTCATTGTATACCCACCTGAACCCTGGGATTTGGGAGGAAGGTTCCTCTCCAAGCTCTGAGCCTCTGACCTTCATCTACCTATGTAGAAATGAGGCAACAAATTACTGTCACACTTCATACCCATGGGATATGAGATTGTCCTTACTGGGATGTCACACATCCCTCCATTCTTCTGCGCCATCACACCTCATATGAGCAAAAGAAATCAAAGGATTGTTATTATTTACAAAACCCATGCACCTGTTGGGAAGCCGCAGCTTGATTAGACATTCTGTCCACTGAAAAGCCAAATCCCAAAGAATGCTCTTCTGCTTCTGTAGATGCAAAGGCACCTGCCTCACAGACACAGCAGGATGCTGTTGGGAAGGGTACCCTGGGACTTGCCAAGCAGTAAAAAATGAAACCATTCCAAGAAGGAACAGCTAGTTTAGCTTGGTGACAACATGCGCTTTTCAGACATCACAAGTAATTATCAGAACCTAGTTGCATCTGAGTCCAGGAATGAGAGCATGGCATGCTGAGGTTGGATGTGGCATCTCTGTTATAGATTAAACTAAAGTCTTATTCATCTGCCAAGATGAGTTGGGCAACACAAGATTTCAGCATACCTTGGGGCTTGAGCTGGAATAGATGAAATGTTTGTGGTTTCCTTAGCTCCCTTTGTATGCCTACCCCATGCACTGTGCTTCTTGAGATAGCTGACTGATGTTATAAATCAAGCAAATCAGTGTCCTGAGAACTGATTTCCATCACTTGTGTGCAGGGGCTGCTGGTTGTCTTCCCATTCAATTAGGCTGGGTGAGGCACTTTGATATCCAAAACCCTTTTGTCACAGGAAGCCAGCGAAGTAGTAGTACTGGCTATGTCTTGCTGCAGTCCTGCTTTTGCAAGCCAGGGACACTGCAGTGTCTGAGAGAAAGCCGACTGCATCACCTCTCACAACTGTGTGTGTGATCGGAACTCAATAACAGAATGAAAAAGTTAGCCTTTGCCACCAATCCACAGAGTGGGTGGATGGCCCCAGGGATATTACTGCATTGTTAGAATGCAGGCTACAGTGCCAGAGGAAGTGCTCGGGACCCTCCTCAGACTCAGTAATAAACCTAACATGCTAAGCAGAGAAGCTGGCTGTGGCTGTCCTGGGAGCTGAGGCCAGGGTGTGGATCCTGCACTTGTCTTCAGAGACCAGGTACATAGATGACCCATTACCATTGTCAGCTGGGCTGCTGCTGGTGGAATGCCGAAGATGATGAATGCAATGGGCCAAGCGTCTTGGCTTTTGTTACGTCCTTTCTTTGTAGTTCGCTTCACTTTACTCTTTTTAAAGAGCCTTTGCCCTCTAGTTTTTCCCTTTATGTAATTAAAGAGAACACGATTCCTTGGCTTCCTTAGGAGAAAGTAGTCAGAGCCATAGTGAGATGTAGGACAGTTTGCTTGGCATGAGCATCTGCTTGGGACAGGATATTCACCCCGCTAAGAACAGCTACCTGCTTCCTGTTCCTCACATACAAGCTATGTGACATCAGGAAAGTTACTTAACCTCTTTGTGCTTCAGTTTTCCCATCTATGATGCAGGAGTGGTAGCAGTATTAATGGATAGCTTCTTCTAAGGATTAAGTGAGTAAATATATGTAAGTTGCCAGGTGCTATGCCTGGTATACAGTAAACATTACGTGAGAATTGGCTTTTAGTGTTAGGTGTGTTTTCTTCTTATAAGGCATTATATAGTATGTCTACCTTTGAAATTATTGGAGATTATTTTAATTTGATACTTTTGTAAAAACTCATCAGAGTAACTGCATGTAGTCCCTAGTGTGTGCTCCATGGACATTTAATTTATCTTAGGTAATTTTCAAGTTGAAGGTTGAAAGGACATTACCATGGGAACCAAGAAGGTAAGGAATTAGTTTTCAGTATTTCATCTTTTAGCTGTGTGATTTTGAACAAATCACTGAACCTCTTCAGCTTTTTTATTCTTGAAAATAAAGATGGTGATGTGTGCCTTGCTTACCTCTTGGGTCTGTTGTGAGGATGAAATGAGGTGTCAGGACGTTGCATGCTGTCACCACCAAACATACACAGTGATTGTTATGATCAGCCTGATAACAACGGCCACCTCTTCTGACATCCTTTGATGTTTTCTTTCCGTATCCCATCGTTCCCCCCATCACCTGAAGTATCCAGTGGGTAACTTCAACCCAGTGTGAAGGGGGAGTCAAATCTAGAGAGAATGGGGAAGAGAAGGGAGATAGGACTAGGGCCAGCTTGTACCTGTCACTAGGTTCTTGGGAAGCGTTGGCTGTTGGAGACTTTCAGACCAGCCAGGAGTCTCAGCACAGGAACCAGGCCTGGTATAGTATGAAATGCCCAACCAACCAAGATGGCGACCACACAGGAAAGGCGGGGCCATGGGATGAATCCTCAAGCAGTGGCTAGGTGTCCTGGCACTGGGTCATGTTGTACTAGGTTCAAATACTGGCTCCGTATAGAACAATTGTGTGATCCCAGGTAAGTCCCTTAACTCCTCTCAACCTCAATTTCTTCATCTGTAAAATGGAGACTCACAATAATACCTGTGTTTTTGAGCTATAGTGAGGATACAGTGACCTAATTTATTAATATCTCTACAATCGTGCCAGTAATGTTGAATGAGGCTGAAACTGAGCTACTTGAAGGCGAGGGACCACTTATCACCCATCTTTATATCTACAGCATCAGCACAAGCCAGTACTGTTGGAACAAAACTGAGTAGGATAATAGGGGCTTGGAGGTGAGGCAGAAAAGGGACCAACCGGAGATGAGGCTGGGAGGATAGGTTTAGCCGAAACATGAAGGACCTTGGATGCCTTGCCAGAGATCCTGGGTGCCATGTAACACTTTCAATGAAGGATATAAGACCAGATGTGTTTTGAAGGAGATAACCTTGGAGGATTCTCCAGTGTGGGTCTGGAAAGGAGTTGAATAGAAGCAATAAGACCGAGGCAGTAGACAGTGAACTGCACTGAGAGAAAAAAGAAGCTTCTAGAATATTCCAAAAATTGAATCTAATTGGTAAACAATTGGTTGTGAGAGGAACAGTATAATTCAGTGTTCTAGGGACATCACCAAGTCATCAAAGGCTCTGTACTGTTTCATGTAACACCAAGGAAGGGGAGGGAGAAGAAGCGACACTGTCTTCCCCTAGCAAACGGCTTCAGAAATTCAGCCCCAGGTCAGAGTGTATGCCTCAGAGAACAGGTGGTTGTCACACTTCCCAAAGTGAGTCTCCCAGGGAATTAGGAGGAACCATTCATGACAATGCTACAGGCAACCTCAAGTAAAGAAGCTTTGCTGGATTTAGCAAGAAGACTCTATCTGCTTTGGGACACCACAGGTTTGACAGCTTGGGCTGCAGCAGGAGACTGCGGGTTGTTAAGTCTGGCTGGAGAATCCCTGCTTGATTCTTAGCCAACTCGGTGCTGAAGGAGGATCTTCTGATCTTATCAAGTTCTGGTAGACTCTGGATGGTAGAGGTTGAATTTCATCTTCAGATTTTCTTGGAGAAAATCACCGATGTCCACTTCACCTGGACTGTGATTTAATAGGAAGGTAAATAGTCATAACTAATACTAATTGAGTACCTGCTATATGACAGACACTTAGCTGAATGCTGACCTTGAATGCCTTAATCTTCAGCATCACCTTGAGTGGGGTCAAATATTCCTTTCACACACAGAAGCATTTTGTCCTGTTCAGATTGTTATTATCTCCATTTTACGGATGAAGAAACTGATGTCAGAGGGTGCAGTCACTTATCAGAGGTCACACAGCTATTAAGTGGTCGAGTCAGGGTTTGAAGCCAGGCAATCCTCTTTTAGACCTGCTGCTTTTTACCGCCCCACTTCCTGCCTCAAATCTGCATTGTACTGCTTTGGGCTGTGAAGCAGAATAGAGACACTCCCAGGGATTGTTTAAACATGCTTCTTGGTCCTTCACTACCGCACTATTAGATGTCTGTTGGATTTTGCTCACAGCTGCCTTGTTCACTTGGGATTTCAGACACTGTGCAATAAAAGCTTTGCTAATTCCCCAGGAATGAATTATAGGAGAGTCGGCCTGTTTAAGAGAGAAGTCTGGATGAAAGACCGGGTCCTTTAATTCTGTGTCGCTATCAATGATTGTGTTGCTTTCACTTGTGCTAACACATGTCCCTCTTTTCCTATTTGCCATCCACTTTAATACTCAAAGGTGGTGGAGGAAAAGCAGATAAGAGTATCTTAATTTCTCAGATGAGAAAATTGATGTTCATAATTCAAGTGATTTGGCAAAGTCACACAAATGCCATTACACATAAAGCTATCTGTAAGTAGAATTCAGGAGCAACCAAATATTTCTAGACAGGGAATGATACAGGGACTGTTATGTCTTAATTAATGTATCAACTAGCAGTTGCTTCTAATTAGCAGTCCATGAAAGAACTGATTTCCACACACTTATTTGTACCATGTTTGCACCCTTCCTTTTTCTGAGCAAGTCTTAATCTATAGAGATTCACTTCCTGAGTGGAACTGACGCAGGTTCTGATTTTGCAGGACAGAATAACGATGCGGATTTGAGTTCGCTCTTGCTCGTCAGAAAGCTGTCTGCTCCTGTCTCATGTGTCTTGTTTCCTGTCTTCCCTTAGAACCATCACTGGAGACATTTCTCTAGAAAGATAACTGTGAATCTGTTTCGTCTTTGCAGCCCGTACAAGGCTTTGACTATGCCAAGCAGCACCTGGGCCAGCAAGGGGCAGACGAGGAAGTCATCCCTGTGACTCAGGAGACCGTGGTCCTCCCGCTGCCAGTTAGAGATGCTCCTCAGGAGAGGGATGTTGCTCAGGATGGGAGCACCATCAAGACGGCCAAGTCCACCGAAACCAGAAAGAGGTAGGCAGGGGCCAACTTCTGCTTTTCCCCATCAGCAAGAGAAATCATCCATAGTAGGAGCAACTGTGACCCTTAGAAAGTCCCCTTCATGCTCACTTTGAATACTACAAAGAAGACTAAGAGAGATGAGGAGAGCCACAACCCCTGCTCTCTCTGGGCTACCCTTCGTGAGGCTTTGTGTCACTGATCAGCCACTACCGTGGAAATGTAGCTTCTCTATTTATGCTAGTAAACTTGGCTCCAATGTCACACTTATGGTTTTACCGGCACCGTTATTTTTTATTTTAAAGAGAAAAACAAACAATAACAAAATAACAACCACTTGTGGTTTTAATGTCTGCTAAAAGTAGTGCCTTTCCTTCAGGATACTTGGAATTTATCTGGCGGCTTCTCAATAGAGTTTCTGATTCCCATCGAAACCATTTGTTGAGTTTTTACCATGAACAGAGCACTTTGATGGGCATCAAGAGGACTGTAAAAATGTGGGAGATTAATTGCTGACCCAAGGATCTCATGATGGAGGAGACAGAGAGATAAATAATGGAATACCAAGTGTGAGTGCCTGTGTGGGGTCTGAGTGCTGCAATAAAGAGAGGAGGGGAACTTAATGCTGCCCTGGGGGACATTCTGGGGCAGTTGTTTTAGCCAAGCCTTGAAGGGTGGGGAGGTCTGAATAGGAAGGAAGAGATAAAGGATCCATCCGAAAGAGTAGGGAAAGAAGAGGACGGTGAGTGTTCCCAGGGTTTAGAGTTCATAGTGGTTGGGATATAGTGAGGGATAAAACGAGAAGATGAAGTAAAATTGTAGATCATCTTGACCACCAGGCTAAAGAGACCTTTACTCTCTAGGCAATGAGACGCTATTGACAGTTCTTTTAGGGAATAATGACATCCAGCTTATATTTCAAAAGAACTACTCTGACAGCAATGTGGATGATCAATGGGAGAATTTAGGTTAGAGACTCATTACAAGCACTTCTCAATAGTCTTATAAAGAGGTCATGAGCCCCATGGGAGGTTCTCTGTTGGCTGGCAAGACCAATATCCATTGCTTACCCGCTGCTGTCTTGCCTGAGGCCACTGTGGAGATTGGAAAAGCCACATCTTTTGTATGTTATTCCTTTCTTGCCTCCCTTTATCTAGCAGATATGTATTACTGTACTTGTTTGCCGTTTGCCAGACACTGGCGATATTTCACTGAACCAGAGTTTATAATCTGGTGGGGAGAAACAGATAATAAATAATGAAGTAGATAAGGCCTATTTATTTCTAGGTCAAGTGGTAAAGACTACAAAGAAGGAAATAAAGCCACAGTAATGGGGCATAGGGATGGAGGGGGGCCATAGTGCTGTTTTAGACTGGCTGACTCGCTGTCAGGGGTGGCCCATGTCACTGAGACCTCTTTCCATCTGGTTTCTCATCCTCCAGGAGGCTAGCCCTGGCTTTCTCCCAAGGTGATTCCAAGGGCAACAAGAAAAATTAGCCTCCAAGTACAAGCATTTCCCAACTTTCCGCTTGTGTCCTGCTGTGTCATGTGGTCAAATTCAGAGAAAGTGTGGTAGAAAACTTCCCCCAAAGCTTGACTACAGATGTATGAACAATTTAGGACCACTCGCGGGGAAGAGCCGGAGCAAAGTAGAGTTGAGATGCACAGAGAAACAACAGATGATTGATCTGAGTTGGCGTGTAAATAGTTATCTACAGCAATTATTCTCATTATGACCTTCGTCAGGTACAATAAAGGCGTATTGACAACTTATTTATTACCTCTTTGGAAGACACTGAAAAGAAACAGAATTATTAGAATTAGGATATTAACACAGCACTTCCAGGAAGAATAAAAATTCTTTTCCACCTATTTGAGTTGAGTAAATTGTGTAAAGATTAATTTTTTTAAAACTGTATTAGAACAAGCATTTCTTCTTGGATTAGCAAGGAGCTGCCTCTTGCTAATTGAGTTCAGTTATGTACTACCAATTTTATTAAGAAGTATTAGCTTGTGAAACAACAGATAAATCAAACGTCTATACTGCTGCATGGTTTCTACATTTGATTCATTGTTATTTCCTCATGAAAATGTAATCTTACTAGGGACCAGCTGAATCATTGACCAGACTGTGTTAGAAACCTCATCCATGTTCAGGTGAGCTGCTCAGGGATGTCTCATATCATTAGGGAAGACCCTAAATGCAGCCTATCATGAATCATGTTTCTGGTTTCCCCGTCTTTCTGTACCAGTTTCCTGATTCAACCTAGATATGGACCATAGGACCCCTGTGCAAGATGGGTCTGTTAGATGACCCAAAATGTTTTGTAAATGAAAATCAGAAAACCTATTATTTGATCGTTATTAACATGCTCCAATTTTTAAAAAGATTTTAAAATGGAAATCTGAAGATTCAGTCATTCCCAGGCAGTCTGATGGGTGTTATAGATCCTTTTCCTCCAGTCTAAGGTCTTGGGGGTGCTATTGCGTTCATCTGTCAATGAAGCTGATGGGACAGGATGAAGAATCAATCTCATAAGGACAGTCATTTGCAAAGGATACTTAGTGATAGGCGATAATTGTTCAGTAGTTGATTCATCCCCACCCCAAGACTCTCCTTCAGGCTCCCTGTTTACTGCTGGTCTCACAATGGGGGACCATTGAGTTCAGTCTCACGGGTGATGTGTTTTTGCTTTCAAAAATATTTTGCTGTCCTGTGAGTATACACACACAGTCTCAGTCTCTGGTTTGGATTAGGAGTTTGGAGTTGATGGTTCCATGTAAAGAGAACTCTACAAGCTAATGCAAAGAACAGGGTTGGGTTTTCGCTATAGAAATTTGCTCATTAACACCTTTCCTTGAGTTAGAAGAACAGTCAGAAAATTGTTTCTGGGTCAAATGAGGGGAAAGGTCTTAAAATGCTACAAAATAGTTGAATAATTTGCAAGTTACAAAAAGCGTTTCTCTTTCCTTTAAATGAAAGCCTTTTACTCCAATAAAGTGCCTGGAAGGGAAGGTCCTGTTAATCGTGAGATTCTAAAAACAACCCGGCAGTGTATGTCTTCTCCATGTATGTGTATTTATACACCCCACATTCAGTAATCAAACAGCTGGTGGGTAAATAAATTATACATATTCATTAATTAATGCCCAATCCTTATTTTCCCAGACTACTAGTTTCATAGGATATTTTAAAAGTTTTATGGTAAAAGAGATATATGGTCACATAAATTATAAAATGCTGGATTTAATGAGACAAAATGAACCTATGACAGAATCAGTCAGAGCCTTTGATATCTAATGTGCTTTAGGAATCTCTAAAGAATGAATAGAGTAAACATTTCCCAGACTTTGACTGTGTGTGGAAGTTGGGCTCTCGTGCTCCATGGAACGCTCTGGCGTATGCTGCTTTGTTCTGGGACATCCCAACTTCCCCACTGCTGGTGGGTTTCAGGTCCTAATGTGTGCAGAACTGAGAGCTCCAGGCTCCCAGAGGAGAGGGAAGGGGCAGGGTGGTGCATCTGCAAGGACACACAGCTTCCACCTCACAAGCTGCTTACCTCCCCCGATGAGGCATTGATTCCTGTCAGTTTTCCACTGGGATGCAGGGAGGTGCTCAGTGCCCTTTTCTGCTAAATGTGGACAATTGACACTAACCAAGAAGCCACGAGGTATCTGTCCTGCGGCCTCCCGCAGAGGCAGGTGGTTCTTGCACTCGGTCCACCTCCAGGCTGGTGTGAGCTGAGGCCCGTGAGAGTAGGAATCTCCGGGGGGCTCTGGAGAGCTCGCTTTCCCACAGAGTTGCAGAAGGTGAGAGTCTGGGCCTGAGTGAAGGGGAGAAAGCCCTGTGGCTTGCCCTCATCTGGGGTCCCTGTTGGGAACTGCAAAGGAGAGTAATCTGGGGTGTGGATGGAGGGGGATCCCTGGCTCTAATCCCACTGCCCAGTCCTGCTGTGGACAGCACACTTCGCCTCTACAAGCTCCACATTCCTCCCTTACTGACTGAGACTGACCATCCCCAAGTCAGAGGCGCACCATACTGACTCACAACCAGTTTGGAGGGCACCCAGCACACAGTAGGGGCTCCTGATGGAGCTCTTAGCACGGTGTGGGTCAGTGTCTGTAGGCCTGGATGCCTGGTGCAAAGGGGCATGCAAAGGGTATTTCCAAAACTTTAGGACGTAAAAGGAACAAGTAGCTCAAATTGGCTGTTTCACAATGTAAGTCATTTCTAGTTACCACAGTTAAAGAAATGTGTGTGTGTGTATGTGTGTGTATTATGTGTGATTGACAGAGTGAAGGCCCCATAGTGGGTGACTTAATGTTTAGTAGACAAGGTCTATGCCATGAAGACAATAGTCAAACAGAACCGTGGCTTTACATGTCTGAAGAGGCCCTTGTGATTCAAGCACTCAGCATCCAGCGTGCCATGTGTGGAAAGGAGGGCTTGCTGCACAAACACTGTTGCTCCGTTTCCATGGTCACTGGCTGTTAATGAATCTGAGAGGGGCCTTTGGGCTGCGCTCAGTAAACTTGTCGGCAGAGCCAGCAGAGCCCGGTAAAGTCACTTCAGAACCGTCAGCTGCCTCACCCATGCCATGGCGTGGGTGGGTTTGCCTTTCTTCTTTTCATACATCATTTCTTCTTTGCCAGTAGAACTGAAACGAAAAGCTACGGGCATAAACTGTGCAAGTAAAATAACCTTGAGAGGTGGCTGTTCTAGTTGAAACTTACCGTCTTCCCTGTTGCTATGGTTACTCCAGCAGGTCGCCCAGTGAGACTGGCTCTGTCATCAGCAACGAATCAGGGAAGCCCAGCTCAGGGAGACGCTCACCCCAGAACGTAATGGCACAGCAGAAAGTGACAAAGGAGGAGGCAAGGAAGAGAAATGGTGAGAAGCCTGCCCGCCAAGCACCACCCAGTCCCCCCTGTGGGTGCTTGCACACACAAGCATCCACTTACACACTCAGCGTGATCTAACCCCAGCCCTTCTTTCTATTCTGCTCACAAGGGCCAGAGCCTCTTGGATGATTGCTTTAACCCTTTCTCTGAATAGTTCTGTCGCACCTCCTCTTCTCCTGTTCTTAAGGAATTGTTCAGTTCCTTGGAAAAACCATTGTAAAGCAAAGTGATGTTTGCTTAGAGATTTGTCTCATCCTTGAATGGATGGATGCGATTTCTGGCACCAGGTCTGCTCCGCCAGCTGGTCTTGGAAATGCTGGCCATTCTGAAGATTTCTTCCTCGTTCTTACCCTGATGTCTCCGACGAGTTTCAAGGGTTCAGTCTGTCCTAGAGAGCCTAGATACGGCCAATCTAACTGCCCCCAGAAAAAAAAACAATAGACAGATTTGTCAATAAAAAAATTGGCCTTATGCTTCACTCTCCTGGGAAATTTAACTGTTTCATCTCTGTCATACGCAGATCATTTTCCTCCCTCATATGTGTTAGTGTTTGGGGTTTATGTCTATGTTTTTTGAGCTCCCTTACTGCGTAGGGCACCATCGATGGACTGCATCTGTTGAACATCGTTGTGTTTTCTTGCTGTCTGCCCGATCCCACCTTGGTTCTGATCCTCATCCCTTCATGGTCCTTCTGCATGTGAGGCTGGCTTGCTGGAGCCCAGAATTCAAGGACTCAGCACTGCTGATTTCACATCAGGGAAAATTCCTTCTGAATTCCAGAGAATTGTAGCTGGAGCCCTACAGAAATGCCAGGTGAACAGCTATACACCCTGGTGCTCTACTTAGCAGAGCTTCCCTTTCAAAGGGGTTTGATGAAGTGCAATGCAGGGCTTTCTCTTGAAGCTAGTGCCAGAGGAGTCTTTTGTTTTCAAATGTCACTTGCCTATTTCTTTTTTTTTTTTTGTCCAAAAGAGATACAAAATGTAGAAAGAAAGAAAGAAATAGATTTGCATTCTGCAGAGAGGATACAGTCCTTGTCCTTATTTCTAGCTATTACATAAAGCACTTGTTAAATTCTCATGCCTATTTGATTCTTAAATTTTTCTTCCCCTGAATTCTGTGTGCCCTGGAAGACAGAAGCTGCTTTCCGCATCAGAATTAGATATGACCTGTGGGATTTTCCTGGAACATCTGCCCTACCTGGAACTACCATAAATCCTGCTGTCAGTTGTCTGTCAGGGAAGCACATAAGGAATATTCCAGAGTCAGAGAAGCTCTAAGCTGAGGAAGAGGGACTTGGGCTTAGCAGCTTTCTTCTTTCTCCCCAGGGCAAGATCCTAAGAGACATAGTAGAGAGAGCAAGATGACAGCACAGACAATAGACACTGAAGCCATTCAGGAAGGTTTTTTTAAAACTAGGTACAGTCATCTTCCGTGTTCAAGGGCTCTGCAATGTTACATTCAACCAGTGGTGGACTGAAAAGAGTGGGAAGAATTGTGTCTGTCCTGAGCATGTGTAGACCTTTTTTTGCTTGTCCTTATTTCCCAAGCAATAACAACGGTTCGTGTAATATTACTATTGTTTTAAGTGTTACGAGTTGTCTGGAGATGATTGAAAGTATATGTGGGGATGTGTGCAGGTTACTTGTAAATACTGTGCCATTTATATAACTTGAACAGCCACAGATTTTGGTATCTGTGGGCATCTTGCGGCCAATTTCCTGTGGATACTGAGGCACAACTATACTGTGTGGGCCAGGGCCAGCGCCAGCTCACCAAGACGGTGCTCATCCACCCTCTCATTCTGCCTCCTCCACACCGCCTTCCTCCTTTCCTCCCTTCTTCCTTTCCTTTCTACACTTTCTGGAAGCTTATAATGTCAAAAGCCACTTGCTCCTCCAGATGCCTCCTCACTCTCCCACCTCAGATCTTGACTGATTCTGCATAACTCGATGTGTGTTTCTCTGACTTTTTTACTATGCATGTGGCAGCACACACCTCCCTCTGTGTCTTATCATCTTGCTTTGTTTTCTTCTTATAAGATGAAATCAATGTACTTGATGATGATTATGTACTTTTTTTGCTGAAAAATGTGCAAAGTACAGACTCCTCTGTCAGTCAGCAGACATTTCCATATGATCCTTTCCCCACCTCTGTGTTTGGTCTGTAGGGTGTGTGGCTTCTGACCCCGTCACTCCCGACTGGCTCCTGAAACTCTGCCCTGCTCTAAGGGTCTCTACTGACTACTATTGCTGTTCCTGCTTGTCCGCCCTCTCCTGGTCTTCTTATTTTGTTTAAGTCACTTTGATTATTTAAAAACCAGGTTCAGAAATAATGACAGGCAATGCATGAATAAAATGCAATTACTGTTTCAGGCTGAGGTTTTTATTTGTTTTATTAAGAAGCCATCTTTCTTAGGCTTAAAGTAGGTGTATTTTATTTTGGCCAAAAGTAAACCTAGTGAATCCCCAGGGTTGTCACTTCTTGTTCAGTGAGATTTAGATTTGGAACTTCCAACTAGAAATGATAGGACCAGCTTGCTTTGTGTAAAACTTGAGACATGGAAACACATTGGAATTCTAGAATAAACCTCCATGAGATTCACATTTTTCCTTTTTAATCAAGAGATCCCCCCTTTTCATACTAGGTGAGAGCTAACCAATAAAATCCATAATGTACTGGATTAAGTTAGAAGATGACAGGGCTGGGGATTTAGCTCAGCGGCACAGTGCCTGCCTGGCAAGCACGAGGTCATGAGTTCGATTCCAGGTACTGGGAAAAAAAAACAAAAAATAAATAAAAAGATGAGCCAGAAGGAGAAAGGAAGGGAAGGAGGGAGGAAGGGAATAACATTGAATAGGATTGTGTAGAAATCAGAAAGGTGTATTTCCATCCCTTTGCTGGTCTGCAAAAGCTATTAAGCACTTGTTAGATGTAACCTCTGAGAACAGATTATACTGCTGGTACCAAATATTCACTTTGTCTCATGGTTTAGTGTCTATCCTAGAGGCTAGGGTAGGTAAGATTAGTTAAAAACGTTAATGTACTAGGCTACAGTTTTAAAACTGTCCCTGTTTTCCACCAGGTTTGTTGCACCTGTAGCTCCTAATATTCATCTTTTGTGAAAGTAGAACCTTTAAGGGGAAAAGACCCTGCCCTGTGAGCAACATGGCTGGTCGGGTCCTTGTAGCTTAGTGCATTCACTAGCTACCAGGGCCGTTTTAGAGTCTACTTCATGGAAATGGTTAAATACAAGGAGGAAACTTAGATGTGACCCCTGGGATTTTGAAAGCAAAAGCAGTTCCATGTTTTCTCAACTGAATATAGACATTTGAACTTCTGAGTCACCTTTGAAAATGCTTTTTTCCAGCAAAGTTAAAAGTAAATTCAAGATTAGAATATATAGATATAGAGATGGAGATATTCTTTTACTATTTCAATCATTTAAGAGCAAACAATGTCGCTAAACCCTTTAAGTGTTGCTCAAAGAGACTTCACTGTCGGGGCTCAAAATCTAACCAGACCTGATACTCACAGGAAGATAAGGCAAGAGAGGAACAAGAATTAGAGTTCTGAAGATGAATTATCACTTCCTTGGCAGGAATGTTGAGGAGCAGGATAGGATGCAGACAAAGGAATATTCTTCAATGATACTAGCTCAGAAACACAGTTTCAGCTCTTATTTGTTCTTTGCTCTCCCAGTGAGGTGAAGACTCGCTTTCCTTACTTTATTTTGAATTGTATATATTCATGGGGTACAGTGTGATTTTGAATACCTGTACACATGTGGAATGATCAAATCACGGTCATCATATCAGCATATCGCATAACACTGGTAGGCAGCGATGCTAGGTGTAGATTACTTGTCTTTGAACTTTAACAAACATTTTGGAAAGAAAGAGCATGAGTTGTTGCACAGGATCTTCTGCCTCCAGTGAAGGGCTCTCCCTGATACCAATTCAAACATGAAAAAAATGAAATCTCTTCTTCCAGCCTAATTTACTGAAATGGAAACCAACAATGCAAATAAGCCACAAGACAGAAGAAGTATGTGTAGTGATGTGACAGTATCCCAATACTTCTTCAGTTTAACTGTGGCCCTTGCCTTTAACACTCCCCTCCCCACTTTTTCCTGCAGGGAATAATTATGCATTAAAATCCCCTGTGATCCTATGTTCATTAAAATGTACTCACAACATTCTAATGTGTTCATGTATAATGCAATGTCTTTAATGTAATTTTCCATAAAGTCTTTGGGGCAGAAGATAACTAAATATTTTTCTTAACAAAAAAACAAAAACCCTAGGAGGATTGTTATATAAATCAGAATATGACTTTTAAAAAAAAATTGTCCTGTTATAGTTATGCTGCCCACATAACCCTGTCCACAGGGTGACAGGTAAGAGCATCCCAACCCAGAAGCAATAAAAATGCTCAGTGCCATCTCTCTACCCTGTGAGCAGTTCAATGATAGCATGACTTTACCTTCTACCTGGTTCCTTTGCTGCCAGTACTAACAAGATCTCGTCTTCCAAGTCAGGAGAGGCAGACATACTGCCTTCACTCACACGTGTACTCATTGAATCCTTGCTGAAGGCCGGAAGTCTGTGAGACACTGTCAATGGCAATAGGCATCGGCCTTTGAAAAGATGGTCAAAGGTGGAGCTGATAGTCTAGTGGCAAGGATGAGGACAGACTGTAAGTCAACTCAGTAAATCAGTAGCAATAAGTGTCAGGAAGAAAACACAGCAAGACAATGACAGGATCACCGTAAGTTGGTGGTTAGGGACAGCGGTCTTCAAGGAGGAACTGGTTATGTAAAGATCATTCAGAAAGAGCATTCTGAACCAAGGAAACAACTAATGCAAAATTCCCAAGGTGGGAACATGCCTGCTGTGTCCCAGAAGGCCACTGTGGTGGGTCAGAGGAGATAAGGGGAAAAATAGGAGATGGGGTCAGCCAGGTGGCCTCCAGGGCCTTGTAGGAGATAGATGAGGCTTTCTGAGGGCTCTGATCAGAGCGGTGATATTATCTGGTTCCCTGTGGACAACATCGGCCTTGCTACCTGTTGAGGGAGATGTATTCTAGCGGCAGAGTGACAGGTGGAGGCTCCGAGCTGGATGGTTGTTTAGAAGGTAAATAGGTTACTCATTGCTACATCACAAATTACCCCTATACCTAACAACCTAAAATGATAGCCTACATTTATTATCTCACATAAGGTCTGTGGCGCAGGAATTTAGAAATAGTTTAGCTGAATGATTCTGGCTCAAGGTTTCTCATGAGGCCACAGTAAAGATGTTGGCCTGGGATGTAGTTATCTCAGTGTCTTGACTAGGCCTAAAGATGGCTGGCTTGGGTGGCTGTTAGGCAGGAGGCCTCAGCTGAGGCCTTTCCACGGAGCTGCTTGAGTGTTCTCATAACATGGCGGCTGGCTGTTCCTTGAGTAATTGATCCAAGAGAGAGTAAGGTGGAAACCATCTTTTTTCTTTTTTAAACCAACCTTTGGAAGCAACACACTGTTGTTTCTATAGTTTCTTCTTGGTTGCAAAGATCAGTCCCATTCGCTGGTGTGTATCAGGAGGTGACGATGATTGGAAGTCACCTTGGAGACTAGCCAGTTATCATGGATGGCTTTTGCTGTAGTTGTCGGTGGGAGACAGTGACAGGCATGAGTTGTCCAGCAAAACTACCCTCTACAGTTACATATGTATCTAGCAACATGTCTGAATAGACAGTTTTCTCTGTTTTTGGCTGCTTGGTGGCCTGCTATTTGCAAACTAGTCCCCAGAACTTAAAAAAAAAAAAAAATCTCATTATAACCCATTATTAGACTCTGAGGTATCTTAGCCACATTGTAAAATAACAATATACCTTGATAATTTGACAGATCTTCTGTGATTATGGTAAGTGACAAAATGATGTAAACTATGTGTTTTTCAATAATTTAAATAACATCCCAATCTCTGGAGCAAACAGGAGGAAAGATGAATGTACTTTTATTACATTCATATTTTATATAATTCCTATTTTGCTTCTAAATTGTCCGTTGAGTTAGTTATTTGAACAGGCTTAATTTTATCTCTTGCCAAGCCATGCTCAAGGTGCTATCATTCCTACAGTTATTTCATGGGACTATGGTTTAAGAACAAATAAATCAGCAAGATGCCAGGGGCCCAGGAACTTATATGCGCTCAGTTGTGGAAGCACAAAGCTGACTGGTGTCTTTTAGCTATCGTGGCAGAGTGATCCGTTTGATAGAAGAATTAATTTAATAAAGCGTGGGTGGAAATCAGTCTCTTTAATTAGGGGACTCGTCCGTAGCTGCACAGTAGTTTCTCGGGTAAGTTATTTCATAGCTTTCTTTTGTTTTAGACAAATGAAAGAAACCAAAGCCCAAATCACTGGAGAAGCAGCCTTCAAAAAGGAAAAAAAAAAAAAAAAACAAAGAAAAGCAACCACATTTAACTTCATGCAAAACTCAGTGGCTTTAGGTGCAAGGACTACACTGAATGCCATTGCTCTGGGGGTGATGAGATTTTAAGAATGGTTACAGGGTTTGGCCGAATTTGCTGTTTTCATCTGTAAAAACATAGAGGACAACTTTACTTAAAAAAATGTTGTTTGTCACAGATTAGAGACGGGTTTTGCTGCTAAAATTCAAATCTTTAAAGCTCTTTCCCATCCACCAATAACACAATGGCAAGGTAAGTCGTATAGATCTTAAATTTAAAAGTCTGAGCAGCAGGGAGTGCTTGGCGCAGAACCAGGCACTATTGTCTCGGAGGAGGTTATTTTGAGTAAAGGGATGCCCTTCAGGGGCAGCGAGCCTTACGTCTCTTCTCCCCTACATCATAAAACTGAGGGGTTTGTGTTGCGCTCTAGTGCCCGGCAGTGACGAAGAGGAGGGCGCCGTTCTGTTTGACAGCTCTGGCAAAGTAACAGCAGATCCCTTCGACACGTCTTCGGGGTCTGTGCAGCTCATCGCGATCAAGCCCACAGCCCTGCCCGTGGTGCAGCCCACCTCAGACAGGAGCCAGGACTCCTCGGCGGTGCTCAATGGTGAGGTGAGCAACCAGCGTGACCTGGTGCGAGTCCAGCCAGGCCCTGGGGGATTCACATTCATGCTGGGTGCCTGTAGCTCTAGAGCTCATTTTCACCTCTGCACACGAGAGACCTCACGGGAATGACTCAGGATATCAGTTACCCAAGTCTGTTGAGTGATGTTTTCAGAGCATTTTCTACCCTTGTTGAAAACCCAGAGAGAACCTTTAAAGCACTGTGATTATGAAAAAAAAAAAAAAAAATCAGAAGTTCTATACCTCCCAATATGCGTGCATACCTCCCACAGCCTCCCACTTTTCTCCAGCACACTCTAAAATTCCGCTAGAGATGCTACTGAGGTTATGGGAGGGATGTGAATTGAGAGGGAGGTGGAGAACATATTGTCACATGGACAGGGATATGGCCCACTATCAGTTTTGAAATGACATTTATTCCTTTGGGCTGACGCTTTCAGAAGGATATCAATGGAGACCACAATGCTAATCAAATTTCCCGAGTCAAAAAAAAAAACAAAAAAAACCCCTATAACATATGTTGGAGAGTGATGATTTTATCAAAGAAAACCAGAGCTAATAGATAATATATGATGACAGATAATAGATAGATGCTTGCCAGATAATAGGTGATTAATAGATAATAGGTAGTTGATAGATGATAGATGAGAGAGTCTGGAAGACAAGAAGTCAGGTAGAAATTATCTTTTGTTCTTCCATTTTCTGTAAGCAGAATAGCCAGGGAGCTAAAAATGTTTATGAATCTTTAAGAATATGCTTGTAGAACCTGCTTGTGAAAACTTCTGTTACGTGTGTGTACAAGTGCATGCACATATACCCACACACACATGCACACACACTGACTCAAACTCACACATGCTTCTCTCTAGTGATAAGACATCAGGTTGGTTATTCATTACATTCATATATACCCCACCATTGCTACCCGCAACAGGTGGGAAATTTCCAAAGTTTTAAACTCTTTTTTCCCATCATACCTCAAGGAACACACCCTGTGCCATTGGGTGTCGTAACTGCACATGGTAATGGTCCACCATCCGGGACATTTATAAAAATGCTAATGAGCCTGGTTGAGGAAGTGCCTCTTTTTCCCAGGGCAGAAAGACTGAGCTCACCTATAGATAGGCTGAGATTCACCACAACTCCTTTTAGATTTATGGAGCACTTCTGTTTCCACTTCCTCATGTTTTAGACAAAAGCCTGAGGGGGTCACATGGCTTGCCCAAAGTCACACTGAAGATGATGGTGGAGCCATAATGTTCAGGTACCCTGACTCCCTGTCCAGTGCTCCTTCCCTTTCTTTAACAGCACTGTGCTTAGAAAGTGTCCTCAAGCCAGGCTGCGAGGGTTTGAATCCCCGCTCCTGCACTTACTGTCCGCATGATCTTGGCCAGGTTAACTCCTCTGTGCTTCAGCATCTCTGCCATAAAATGGAACTGCTCTGAGGCCCAGATCAGTTGGTATATGTAAGGATGTGGAACTATGTCTAACACACAATAAGCACTTTCTTATTACTATCAATTAGTCAACAAGAAGGATTGATTCATTCAAAATACACAATGAATACTTAAATTCTAAAAATTTATTATATTACACTAAAAAACACATTGCCACGGATTCCGCTCAGTTCACTACCCTCACTTCAGACACGCTCGTATCACCGTTCTTACCATTTCCTGAAGCGGTTCTGGAGGTCCCCTTTCGCGGGTGTCTTTAGTTGCTCTTTCGTGGCTGTCTTGATGTCCTGGATCAATTCAAAGTGTTTACATTTCACGGGCATTTTTACTTGGGGGAAGAGCTAGAAGTCACACGGTGCTACGTTTGGTGAGTAAGGTGGATGGGGACACAGCATAATGTTTTTATGAGCCTGCCTGTCCTTTGGATGGCACCCGGCAGCAGCGTTCAACAAATTTTTTGATTGCATCTCATAAAGATGCTCACAAAAGAAGACTTCCAGAATTCCTTCTGAAAGTGCCAGGAATGATGGGATACATGTGTTGAAATGAAAGGAGTACTCTTAGGGGGATTAATGACAGTGTGTCTCTTACTATAGTAAATTTTTGTTAAAATGCACTGTATTTTTTCATCAGCCCTTGTGTGCAGTTTATTCCCCAGCTTTATCATTCTCTTCCTAAAACCAGTCACAGCCCCTGAATCTTCTCCTTGGGTGCAGTTCTGCTACCAGACAAGCAAGCCTGTCATGTTAAATCAACGAGGCTGGTCTCCATGAGGACCCTCTGCCTGGTGATGGACCCAGTAATGGCTGCCATGGCTGGCTGGCTGTCACAGCTTAATGACAAAAATGTCGCCAAGGCAGATTCCAAATCTGGGGCAGGTTTCACTTCCCACCCTCTGTTCTTCCCAGGCTCATCACCCTGTCACAGAAGGCGAACAGATGAGCATTTCCCTGGTCCAGAAATGTATCCTTGCTACATTTGGGCAGTGAGAGGAATGGACTTTGTTGCCATTTGGATTGGACGAGAGCCCTGAACTGCTCTCTGTAATTTGTGGCCTAGTGGAGCTCAACACAAATCGCTCTATAGTTTTCTTTCTTCTTTTCCTATGGGTGGCTGGCCTGAATGAAGAAAGCACAACCCCTGAACCATAAAGTTTCCTTTTATGAATTATAGGAAATTCTTTTAAAGATGATTTTAAAGAAAACATAATCACAGCATAGAAAGTTCAGAGATGGGGGTAGTGACATCCTCATCACTGGTTAATTATGAAGCGTGGCCATCTGCTTACATCTTTCACAGGTCACAGGGACATGAACCTTGTTCTTGTCTGAAAGACAAGACCTTTTCCATGGACCTTTTCCTCATAGAGCAGGACCTGGTTGGCATTCACAGTCATACAGAGCTTTAAAATAATACCTCTGTCTAAAGAGACATGGATTTACAGAAACGTGTCTTCACACGCAGGCTGTTCATGTGGAAAGGCCTCGGGAACAGAATGTTTGTTCTGCCTTCCCACCCATTCATTCCAACTCACCCACTTCAGGGCTGTCTCATCCAGCTGCACCTCTGCTAAATGCCCAGAGGAAACTCTAGGGTCCCAAGGGCTGGCACTGGACTCAGGGCACCAACAAGTAGCTGGGCTGCCAGGTCAGAGCCCCCTACACCAAGGCATAGGTATAGGCAGCATTAAGGCCAGTGCCAGGAAGGAAAAAGCCCAGAGTCAAACATAGACCAGAGCAGTGTCGGGCAGACTCAGGAAGAGGAGGTCTTGACCGAAGGACTCAGGTAACTTAGTGAGAGCCCAGCTTCACATTGCTGGTGGCCACATGGGTAGGTCTGGCTGGTTCAGAGACCCAGAGCTGAAGCTTAGGGCAGCTTTTCCAGGAGTTGTGACCTTCTGGTGAAAGTCTGCCACCTCTCGCGACGCTGAGTCAGATCCTGGCCTGAGATGGTCTCTCTCCTCAGGTGAACAAAGCCCTAAAGCAGAAGTCAGACATCGAGCACTATCGGAACAAGCTGCGCCTCAAAGCCAAGAGGAAGGGCTACTACGACTTCCCCCCGGTGGAGACAAGCAAGGGCCTGACAGAAAGAAAAAAGATGTATGAAAAAGCCCCAAAGGAAATGGAGCATGTTTTGGACCCAGACCCGGAAGTGTGTGCTCCATATGCCGAGTCCAAAAACAGGTGCAGACTCTATGGCATTCTTTTTCTTTTCTGAAATAAATTTATGATTTCATTAGTATGTTGGTGATACATAATGAATATATCCATCATGGGGTATTGGTACATATACGTATCCTTCTCGATCCTTTTTGCTTTCCCTTCCTCCCATCTCCCCCCATCTCCAAACCCTCTTCCCATCTCTACAAAGTACCTTCCTGTTTGCTATCATCTCTATTTTACTTCGCTCTTTTTCGACTTTAGGTTTCTCATGCAAAAGGAAGAAGGCCATGTTTAACTTTCTGTGTCTGACTTATTTCACTTAGCATCATAGACTCAAGGGATTCTCTTTAGGTCATTGTGGCACGGGTGGGATGAGGGCAGATGTGGCCACCTTTGCTATACAGAGGTTCCTTCATCGAGAGCCTTAAGATTGGGATCTGTGTGGGCCACAGATCTGGGCCCCACTGGCCCATGCAGGCAAGTGCTCCATAATGAATGTGGAGGAGACTAAAATTGAAGCTATTTGAAAAATACTATGGCAAATAACCATAATTGTCCTTTAGCTTAACAGTATTTTCAAGCCAGTTGCTCTTTCAGAGCTGGGTGAAGATATAATTATCACCTACCTAGTTATGTAACTTTCAGATCAAGGGACATTGTATTTTTCAATTATGTTGGTGGCTTTTGCATAAGAAAAGCAACTTTCACACCTCACCTATTCATTCAGCCTCCCGAGGTATTTACCACACTGCTGCTCAGCGCTGTGTGCTGGTTCATCTGATTCATTCATACATTTGCTCAGCTGTTCAGCATGGATAGTGACCTGCTATGTGTCAGGCACCAATCAAGACGCTCCACAGTGACATGTCAGTGGGTGCTTTTTCTCATTCATTCCTTCAACATTTATGAAGGACAACACAGTCTGAATTCTGGTCCTGCTGAACTGATGAGAATGAGAGATACTCACCCAAACGTGCCAATCACAGGCCTGATGGATGTGTGAGGTGTGGCTTGCTGTAGCTGTCCAAAAGGGGGCCTGGTCTCTCAGACAAGGCTCCAACCAGATGATCTAAATTAGTGTCTTTCTCAGCCTGTTCTATGCTGCTATCACAGAATACTTGAAACTGGGTAGTTTATAATGAACAGAAATTAATTTTCTCACAGTCCTGGAGGCTGGGAAGGCCAAGATCAAGGTACCAGCATCTGGCAAGGGCTTTCTTCCTTCATCGTCACATAGTGGAAGGCAGAAAGACAGAGAGGGCAGGAGGAGGCCAAATTTAACCCTGTCACAGTGGCATTAACGTGACCCATGAGAGCAGAATCTTGTGGCCCTTTCACCTTCTAAATGCCCCAGTCCACACACGACCAAGACAACAGCTAAATTTCCACATGAGTTTTGGAGGAGAGGAACATGCCAACCAGAGCACTGCCTTCTAAGCGTTGCTTCCAGCTGAGCAGAGTGGTCTCACGCACTGGGAGTGAGTGATGGGGCAGTTCCTGACCTGAATGGGTGTTTATGAAAAGCAAAAATGATCCTGTGACAGGCTTGAATCAAAGCCTCAAAATCAAGTGGGGAGATGAGACTAACTTTTATGAATTGAATCCATGTCATTTATTTTCAATAAAGAAAAGAGGAAATTCTAAACCAGAGCTTAATTTACCATGCTTCCGATTAGTCTGGGTTGGTATGAGAAGCTGTTGACATAAAATCACACCGTGACGGGCTTCACAATGCATGTGTCACCATGTTAACAGGAGTAGGGAAAAGAGAAGAAAAGAGACGGATTTGATAAGGGGGACTGGTGGCAAACATTCCGCTTTGGGACTGTGCTTCAATGGTCTTTAGAGGACATTGTGGTTGCTATTTCCCTGGGTTTCCTGCTGATATCCGAGGAAAATGAATCAACCATGATGTATAAATAAGCTTGTATATTATATAAATAGCTTGTGTATTACTGGACAAACACAATTTTTGGTGATGGCATTTTCAAAAAGAAAGTGAACCCAAAATGAGCACAGTTGTTTTCCAGGAGTGCCAGACCATGTGCTGAAGGCCTTTTGGTGGTCTGCTGCTGCTACTGCTGCTGCTGCTGCTGTTGCTGCTGATATGCGTGTGGTTGATTCTCAGTAAATTTCCATTGAAAAAAGTGATTCAATGCAGCACCCAAAATAATTGTACTCCACAGCACCAAAATATATATATTTTAATTTGACTAGTTAAGGAGAAAGGATGGATAGCCACAAATTGAGTGAGCTGGGAAATGGGAATAGAGAGAGAGGATCAGTGAGAGGTGGGGTGGAGAGAGACAATTAGAAAAGAAGAGAGAAGCAGGCTCTCCCTGAGCTCAGCACCGCGTAGGAGGTGTGAGCTCGGAGGTGTCATTCCTGCCGCAGACTGCTGTTGACACCATAAGCTGCCTGCTGTTTATCCCTTGTCACAGGTGAGAGCTACCTGTTAATTGCTGTTCACAGGACAACCCTCCAGAGATGCTGCCACAGCAGGGCACAGTGAAGGAATCGTTCTCCAGTCCAGAAGGAGCATCAGTAACCAGAATTTTACCTTCTGACCAAAATTAAATGAAATGATAAAAAGTTTAGATTCAAGACTTTGGCTCACCATCAAATCTTTTAAAGTTGTTTGCATAGCTATTTTCCTAAAATTAGAAAAATGCCCCATTTTATGTTATAAACAGTTAACTGAGTTGCAAAGGGCACAGTGTACCTGAGACAGGTACTGATTCAGTTGTCATTGCACCTGTTCAGGCCAGCAGCATCCTGCTGACTACAGGCCTCAATGGCTCCCACTTGAGGGCTGTTTTTCAGCAGGCACTGACCAGAAGTGTCAGGTTATTAATATGTGCAGCACCTTAGCCACTGACAGATGGCAGTTGATGGATAAATACCCCTGGTGGGGGAACTCTGGGGTATCAGGTACATGGCTGGAACATCTACACTTTCTAGTTTCTGAATTTGATGCTTTGACATCTGAGGTGTTGCTGACTCCAGAGAAACTGCCCATCCCAATGCGAACCCAATTCCAGGCTCGCTTTAGCAGCACATATATGTGACCCAAATCCTATGATAGTGATGAAAAGGACTTACCCAAAAATGCACTTTTCACATGCAAACCAACCAACCAGTCCAGAATGCACACCTCAGCCACCTTCTTCTGAGGATCTCATGGGGCTCTCTCGCTGGGCTGTCATCCACCTGCCAGCATCACCTGGGGCCAGGTAGCAGGCAGCTGAGGACAGTCTACCCCATCCTACATCTGCTTACCCTGCACCACTCCTTACTTCCATAGAAACCACGGTAAGCCATGCTTCCTCTTCATTCGGCCACCTCCTGGCAGACCTAGCTGCTCCCTGCTGGGTTCAACCTGTCCCTCCCTCTTAAGTTCCTGAGTATAAAAAACATGTCCCCAATGATGGTCAGCTCCTAACCTGTCTGCTTTGCCAGGCCTGAATGATAGTTAAACTCACATTTTAAAACAACTCTCTCCCACACTTCTTCAGTACGTTTGAGCCCCAGATATCCAAAACGCTCATGTGCTCATATCTTACCCCTACTGATTTCCTTGCTATTTCCCTCTTATTTCTCAGCTTCACAGCTGGTGCTTTCTGGAACCACTTTCCAAATTCTCCACTTGCACCAGTGTGTCTAGGGGAATGAACCTAAGGTAGTAACCCATAAAGACAGAGTTACTGTGATAGAAACTGGGGGTTCTTCCTTCTCAGTGGCTCCAGGCTGTCTCTATGGGGTTTCCCAGAGCACAATTTTCAAAGTGCTTTCTTTTAACAACCTGGGATTAAAAAGCTCTTAAAAATCCAAGTAAAATACTTTGTTATCCGCCAAGCAGTACTTTCAGAGCTAAAAAATTGATCAAGTTTACATGTTCCAAAATTTATTACTTTTATAAAAACACAGCAAAATACCAACAAGAAATGAGTGTACCTAATGGAAATCCGTTTGATTAAAATAGGTAATTTCACTGCCTGAGAGACTAATTTATTTTTAAGCAGATGTTCGCACACCAGGCCCACATTGGTGGTCTGGTCAGTTGAGATCCATGTTAAACAACAACTCTTAAGCCATGCATCATAATGGAACATTGTCTCTGAGGGAAGATTAGACGGGAGGATGCTCAGTGTCAAAGCTCTAACCCACATGCATCGTTCTTCAAAGGTTCTTATGCATTTCATTATTGTATTTCTAGTACTTACAGAATCACCCACTGAAATGTCAATTGTCAATCCTCCTGGTTACTCTTCTACCACCCTTTTAGTAAATCTTTTCTAAATGGGCTAATTAGCAATCTCAAGACAGTTATGAAATCTGCTTTTTCAAAAAAGTATTTGTAATTAGGTCAAGGATGAGAATTCTTTGGGGTCTGCTGAAGTCTGAGTTACTCAAAGCTCACTGAGGTTGGGTGCCTTCCCTGAAGGAAGCCTTTAATTGCAGATAATTGGAGAGAACAATTTATAATATCACATTGTTAGTGCCTATTAGTCAAAAGTCATTTGGTGGCAAATGATGGAAATCCAGCACAAACTAGTTAAATAATTATTGAGCATTATTGAAAGGTCAACCCTTTAGTGCAGCTGGATGAGGGGAAGGTCATACATTGTCTCCTGCATCTTGTTCTCTCTTCACTCTTTGCCAGTCCCATTGGGAGGTTCTAACTTCATGGTGGCAAACAGGCTGCCGGCAACTCCAGGCTTGTGTCCTTATCTTCTTAGAAATCTCAATGCCAAGAAAGCGTCTCTTTCCTAGTTGCCCTAGAAAAAACCCTGAGACTCAATCTCATTGGGCCAACTCATGCTCAACACTGACCAATCACGTGGCCATCAGCATATGAGCTGTGATTGGTCTAACCTAAGTCAGTTGCCTACCCAGAGAGGAAATGTAACTTCAAACAATATCCTGCTCCTCTTATCTACAGAAGGTTATGGATACCAGGAAGACACTGACAACAGATACTCTCAAAATAGGTATAAACTCCTCAAGGTAATGGAGTGAATTTAACAATATCTGTTTCATTCCCAAAGCTAATTACAAGAGTATTGCTTTGCCTTGGAATTCTAATATCTGTCATAAACTGTGTGTGTCCATAATGCTATGACAAATTTATTGTGTGTCTCTGAAAAAGTGTGTTTGCCTGCTAGGTTTCTGATTTCCCACATAGTCCATGGGGATAAATGGTGTACTCTCTTCACCTTTGCACATGAATAGCTAGGGTCTTAGAACCGAGACATGCAATCTTGTATGTAAGGGAGTTCTCTGAAGATAGGTGGTCTGGAAATGCAAATTATTTGCAGAAAGATGAGAGGAAACTTGTATCTTTTTGTCATGCTCATGAAAGTCACCTGTCCCTCCTATGTATAAAAGTTGCCCCTTGTGAAAGAAAAGCATAGCCATTGTCCCCTTTATGTTGCTGACTTCTTTCCTCTCTTCAGATAGATTTCTTTAATGACAAGTGGGAATAAGACAGTGGTGACCAATGTATGGATTTTCTAAAAGTAGTGACTAGAGCCTCTGACGGTATACTTCCCAGACCTAAAATACTCTGCCCACACCTGGCATGGGGCTGGCTCCATTTAAGACTTCGCTTCTCCACAGAGAAGCTTCCCTGACCATTGTATCTGAAGTTGACCTCCATCCTAGTCATCCTCTGTCACAGCTCCTTATCTTTCTTAATAGCGTGTTGTGAAATTATCATATTATATCTCTCTCAATAGGATGTAAACTCTGGGAGACTTGGGACCATGGATACTTATTTTCTTCTACAGTGCCTAGTATATAGTACGATCTTAGTGAAAGAAGAATGGATGGATGGATAGATGGATGGATGGATGGATGGATGGATGGATGGATGGGCTGTGTGTTATTTAGCTTTCCTCCAGTGTGACAAAGTGCCTGAGATAAATCAACTTAAGAAGGAAAGGTTTATTTTTGCTCAGAATTCCACAGGTTTCCAGCTATAATCGCTTGGCCTCATCACTGTAGGCCTGCAACAAGGCTGAATATCATGATGGGGAGCACAAGGTAGAGCAGATCTGCTCACTTCATGGTGGCCAAGAAGAGGGGGGAGAGAGAGAGAGAGACAGAGAGACAGAGAGACAGAGAGACAGAGACAGAGAGATACAGAGACAGAGAGACAGAGAGAGACAGACACAAAGACACAGAAAGCAAAAACAAAGCAAGGATGAGAGCTAGCCTTCAAGGGCATGCCCCATGGACTTACTTCTTTCTACTCGACCCTACCTCCTAAGTTTCTGCCACTTCCCAATAACCAAAGAAATGATGAATTATGAGGTTAGAGCCCCTAGTCACCTTCAAAGGCCCTACCTCTGATCACTGCTGTATTAGGGACAAAGCTTTCCACACATGAGCTTTTGGGGACTTTTCAAATCCAAACCAGGGCAGGCTCCAAACATCTTCTAGGTTTATGGGTTCTTAGTTCAGAAAGGAATCCACTGTGGGAACTGTAGAAAGGAAATCTATCAACAATCACAATATTAGGCAGCCCGCTAGCTGCGGTGTTTATTAATACATTGTACAGTCCTGCACTTGAAATCAGAAGGATTAAAAGGAACAAGAGGCTGCTGAGTCAACAGAGTCAGGAAAGGCAAGTGTGTTCCGCCAGCCTTCGCTGTCCGCGAGGGTCAAGAGAGAACCCTGGCCTCGCCATCAGCAGAATTTTAGATGAGCTTGCAGTGCTGGAATGGGTGGTAGTTACCTAGTTTTCATGTGAAAGAGCACTAATAATTCAGCCACATGGTTGCAGCATCTGGAGGAAAACAAAAAACAAAAAAACAAGGCAACAACTGCCCCTTAAGGCCAGGGAACAAATTCCATTGATTCTGAGGATTTGTGTGGCAAATGCAAAACCCTTCATTGGTTGACTGTAGTTTTGGATCAGTGGAGAATTCCATCTGTCAGGGCATTTGCTGTATCATAACAGTTGTTGAATTTTCTTCAGGCAACAGATGAAGAACTCTGTCTATCGAAGCCGGCAGTCTCTGAACAGCCCCAGTCCGGGAGAAACCGAAATGGACCTTCTGGTCACTCGGGAGCGACCCCGGCGTGGAATCCGGAACAGCGGATACGACGTAAGTCTCTGGAGGGCTGGGGTGAGCACAAGCTCTGCTTTCCCCTGAAAGCAAGAAGGACCAAGCATCCCATATTGTGTACGTTTACTACATGTTTGTGGAAATTGAACATGTACTAAAATGCTTTCTATTTTTTACTACTTCTTTTGCAAAATAATATGTGTCAGAGTAACACATTGTGCTGACAGGATCATGATTTCTGAATTGCAGTGTTTTGCAAATATTACTGACCTAAAAGCAGTAGAGGTTCTAAATGTCCTAATTTTCTTTCCTTCTATCTTGAGAAACTCAATAAGAACCATGGAAATGGGTTAGAATTCATGGGAGCACAGGCTTCTTTTAATATACAGCAGTGATAAAAATTTGGACTTGTTCCTGATTTCATAACTCCTCAATATGTCATGGAAACAATGAGATGTCCAACAGAGCGAGTTGATGATTTGTATGACAAAGCACATTGCCTGTGTTTAGTGATGTGTCCAAGCTGCAAAAATCCTCCTGACCCCTCCAGGCTTCCCCAGAGGAGGAATCGCACCCGCATGCCTCCTATCAGGCTGGATACATCCTGAGCTTGGAGTTGCATCCATGAGCTCGTGTGAATTACTCTGGGCTGAGATGGTCACTAACGTTGCTCCCTGCACCACAATTTCAAACGGTCTTGATATACTCTTAGGTTTTGTGAAAAATATTTCTTTTCCTTCCCCTAAGATGTTTTTCTAATGACAAATTAAAATTTTTCTGTAGCAAGAATTATAATTCTGGTATGTCTGAAGAAACTTTTGTTATAATTTGAGAAGTTGTAGTTGGAAAATGACAGTGGATTTCTTAAATATATCATGCTTACTTTATGAAAAGAATATTTTCCCCTTGAGGATTGGCCACTTTTTCCCACAAAAGCTTAAACTGAGACCCTTTAATGGTTCAGTTGAAAAACAAGGATATTTTACCTAATTTCAATCTCTGCTGACTTCCTAACATTTAAACTTGGTGTTTGTGTTGGTAGTACATTCATTATCTTTTGTTTTTCTTTCTTTTTCATAAAAGTTTGGTAAGTTAATTGTATAAAATTCTAAATACTTACAGCGTATTTTTTCTTCCAATAGGTTAAACTATCCTAGCAGATAATTTTTGTCTTCACAAGAAATATTTCTTCTACCAAAGTTATTCACTGTTTTTATCATCAATATATGATTAAAAATCAGCATAAATTTTAAGTTTCTGGTTAACCCTCCTACCAAGAGCAAACATTCTTCCTAGATGCCTGCTTAGTTAGGGATATTTTTTTTTCCCCACTCAAGTAGGTGAAATATGACAGGATTTTTAGTTTATTTCAAGAATAGAGTCAATAGATGTTATGATTTAGATCTACAGTGTCCTCTAAAAGGTTTATGTATTCCGAGGTGGGGCTTTTAGAAGAGGATTGGATTGTAGGGGTGCTGCACCCATCAGTGGATTCACTCACGGAAGAGCTCAGAGCCAAATGTGTGTTAGAAAGTGGATCCTGATTGGAGGGGCCTCACTGAGGGCGGGGCTTGCATCTCCCTCCTCTGTCTTCTCTTTGCTTTCTCTTTCCTGGATTCCTGGCCACCATGACATGAGCAGCTTCCCTCTGCCAGACCCTTCCACCACGCCTTCCTGCTCTGGAGCCAGATGACTGTGAATCCTCTAAGAGCCAGGAGCCAAATCAACTTTTCCTCCTTCAATTTATGGGTGTTGGGTATTGTGTCCAGTGACAAGAAAGTGACTAAAACAACAGGTTTCTTGTGGAAGTCTAGGCATGGACACTTTTATATTTACAGGGAGATGGGGCACATGGGGGAAAGGAGAAAAGAAGGAAGGAAAAAAAATACATATATATACAAGATAGCTAAGAGAATTGCACTAAGAATTCTATTAGTTCATTGAAAGGGACAGTTAGTGCTTATATTGCATGATCAATTTGGCATGCCTATATCTGGTAATCTGAGCAACTATTTCGAAGATAATAAAATGCAGTATGATAACCATTGTTAATTTCTTATCATCTTGTTTTGAAATTCTGTATCATTTTTATTGGGGTTTTTTATTCTCTTGAAAATAAAAAATAATTATAAAAGGAAAACACTGCAGACCCTTTTAATCATGTGATATGACTTGCAGTATTCACCTAGTGCCTTTGGAATGTTGTTAGTAAAATACCTACAACAATGAAAGGGAATTTTTATATTTTTACTTTTTAAAAATTTTTTTTAAATTTTTTTTTTTTTGTACCAAGAATTGAACTTAGGACCTTGCACCTGCCAGGCAGATGGTTATGCCACTGAGTTATATCTCCAGCCTGAGAGGGAATATTTAAAAGGACATTGTTCACCCTTCACAGACATTTATAAATATTCCAAGTACAGATTACTTTCAGGAGGCTCTCTTGATTCTGATAGACTTTTCAAAGCTATATTTATTTGAGAAGCATATGTGTTCTAAAAACCATAAATATAAACTTTCTTAAGAGAAAATGATCATCCGCTGGGCAGTTTCAACAGTTGAGACTCTTCAAGAAACTCTGTAAGAATGATGTTGCTGTTGGCATGGGGGTTGAGGCTCAGTAGCAGAACACTTGTCTAGGGTATGTGAGGCCCTGGGTTCAATCCCCAGCGCCACCACCACCAAAAACAAATGGATGACGGATCAGGGGTGAGGGAGAAGTAAGATATGGGGGAATAAAGGGGTCAGAAGTGGCCAGGATGTGTTACGTGCAGGCACAATTCCCCAAAACAGTACCACTATCACGTACTACAAATATCACTATCATACACTGCAAAGACACACTTAAAAAAAAAAAAAAGAAGGAAAGAACAACATGACCAGCTGGGCACTGTGGCATGTATCTGTAGCTCTGACTACTCAGGATGAGTCATGAGTTTGAGACCAGCCTTGAACAGCATAGGCAACATAGCAAGACTTTTTCTCAAAATGAAATATCACACTGCTCACCTGTATCTTTCTTGTGCTTTTTCTGCTAGTGATAGGAAAAGTGGACTTAGGTCCATTTACTCTTTATGTGTATAACCTTATTGAATTTGCGTGGATTCCAGTTGGGGAGATGCTGTCATTATGCCCATTGCAGGGAAGAGGAAACTGAGGTTCAGAGTAAATTACATGACTTGTCTGCCCAGCTCCAGAGCTCATGCAGTTAACCACCATGCAGCATGAGTTTTATGGACATCCCCATTAGTGTATGTCTACCCTCACATAATGTAATGTATGTTCTATATTGCTGAACCTCTGGAGAGGCCAGATGTCAGGTCTCAGAAGTATTCCTACATGGATAATGCATACAAGCATAAAAAATGGACCAGCAAATAAAGATCAAAAAGAAGTGAATCATGGTTCAAAATAGTATATTCATTTTCTTTCTTTTAAAAGAGAATAATAAAAAAAAGAACAATAGAAAAATGCCAACAACATAGACAAAAACAAAACAAAGCAAAAACGATAAAAATGATACAGGGTTTCCAAACAAAATAATAGGAATTAACAGTGGTTGCTGTATTACATATTGTTATCTTCAGCAAAGTTGCTCAGATTACCAGATGTAAGAATGCAAGATTGATCAAATCATTAAAGAGAATAAAAAATAAAAACAGGGGCTGGGGATTTAGCTCAGCGGCAAAGCACCTGCCTGGCAAGTGCAAGGTCGTGAGTTCGGTTCCCAGTACCGGAGAAAAACCAAAAAAAAAATAAAAAAAATAAAAACAGAAAAACCGTTAGAAACGATACAGAGTTTCACTAGACAAGATGGTAGGAATTCACCAATGGTTGTTATATTGCATATTGTTGTCTTCAAGTTAGTTGTTCAGATTATCAGATATAAGCATGCAAAATTGGCCAAAAAGAAAAAATTAGGCATTAACTGTTCCTTTCAATAAACCATTGGACATCAGCAGTACAGTTATCCCAGCTATCCTTCTATATACATATATAGTTTTCCCTTCTTTCTTTTTCTCCTTTCCCTCATCCCAGTTGTTCCTTCCTTTGCACAGTTTCTTTCCCTTTCAAAATATCTATTGTACACACTGGGTTTTATGTACTCTTTCAGGTTCTTACATTAGGGAGACAATATGATGTTTGTACATGTAGATCCAATTTATTTCACTTATGAGTATGGTCTCTTTTTGCATCCATTAAAAAAGCCTTGAGCTTATCTTTTTTATAACTGAATAATATTCCATTGTATAAAAATACCCCATCGTTTTTATCTGTTCCTCAGTTGATGGGTATGCATTTGGGCTGTTTCCAAGATCTAGCTTTGACAAGTTGTGCTGCTATAAACAGAGTGCATATATATCGCTGTAGTACCATGTTTTTCATTCTTCTGGGAAAATACCCAGAAGAGGAATAGCTGGGTTAAGTGGGACTTCTAATCCTAGTTTTGCGAGGATTCTCCACACCGCTTTCCACAGTGCTTTCACAATCTACACTCCCACCAGCAGTGGAGAAGGGTTCTTTTTCCCCCACAGCCCCTCCAGCATTTGTTATTGGTTGATTTCTTAATGACAGCCATTCTTTCAGGGGTGAGCTGGAATCTCAGTGTTGTTTTAATTTGCATTTCTTAAATGACCAGTGATGTTGAACATTTTTTCATATATTTATTCACCATTAGTATTTCTTCATCTGAGAAGTGTGTATTCATCTCAGATGCCCATTTTTGGATTGGGTCTTTGAATTTCAGGAGAGTACATGCATTTTCTTATTCCAATCATTTTCCAAAAATGGCAAGGTACTCTTGGCAAAAGAATCCATCAGGCCAGCAGTGAACTGGTCATTCCACTGGAAATATGTCATTCTTCCTACAGGGCCTAGAGATCTCAAAACCAGGCCAAAGTACCTGGTCATTTGGGAAATGGTGGAAACCAAAGCACTGGGAGAGTGATTTCATTTTCAATTTATCAAAAGTTGACTTTAGAATCCCAAAAGAAAAGGTTGCATGCAAAAATAATAAATACATAAATAAGTAAACAAAC